ATGTCCTCGCAGACGAGCCGCCAAGGAGCCTCTCTGTCGACGAGTCTAGTCCAACCCTCCAGACCCCGCCCGTGCGCATGTGGGACACGCCGGGTGCTGCGGATGGAAGCGATGGACGGATCGAGTGGACAGACAGGCACCCTCTGAGTCGCCCTCGGTCGGCGGCGCGAAATGTATATGAATGTACAGCTGTACTCTTTGCTACTGTACATACTTCGAGGAAGAGCTGCTTACAACGGGCCTACCATGCCCTACCTCTCAAAGTCGCTTTCGGGGATTCTGGGATGTTTTGCGTGTCCAATGGTTGGCGGCGCCAGGCTAACCGTGTGCTTGATGCCTGTCCTCTTCCTACTCCTTGCCACGTGCAGGGCGGTGCCTCGTCGGACCCTGGCCCTAACGTGAACCTCAGGGCAGCAGCCCACCTTGAGCATCATCCTCTTCTTTTGCGGGATCGTGTGCCGCCTGTTGCGTGCACCGATTCCATGGCCGCCCTCGCCAGCTTCAAGGACGGTTCCTGTCGAGCCTTGGCTGGACCTCCCCCCCACCGCCAGGGGGTCCCCCCACTTACCGACCTGCTGCCAGCCACGTCGCAGCTTGTGCGGTCATTTGGGACCAGCACGGCCACAACCCTCCTTTTGGCTCCCTCCTCCGCCACCTTGGAGGTTTCACAGCAGGGCGATCAGTACGTAGCGGAACTCGTCCCGCTCTCTTTTCCTCCGCACCCGGAGGTTTCGTTGGCGGAAGACGGTCAGACAGGTTCTACCTTCCCTCAGTCGCAGCATGTGCGGGTGGTACCCAGCACTGCATATGTCCATGGTAATTCCCTGCATCCACCTGCGGGCACTAAGGTGACGTGCCCGCTGCACCTTGACGTTGGCAGTCTGCCTCTCCAGGATGAAGCTGATATTTTCCTATGGCCCTGCAGCATCGGTTCTACGTGTGCTGGTCCTCGATTTGCCGACGGCGCACTGCCTGAGTCCCGTGGAGTGCAAATCCCTGCAGGACAGCCTGTCTGCAAAGCCCCGCACCCACCACCGATGATTAGTGATCTGAGGACCATGCTCACGGCTCAGCTCCCTATCACACCACAGTGGCTGCAGGGGCCACTTCTCAATTGGTCGCCTTTTGAGATTCGAGGCCTTTTTGCCCGGGCTGAAGATGTCGAGGAACAACGGCTTTTCACAATTCTTGAATGTAGGATGGACCACTTGGTCCGGGGGGCTCGCCCGGATTGGAGCATTCTTGAATCATGACGGCAGCCGTCTATACAGTACCATACCAGGTGCGATCAATCTGGGTTGTCACAAGGCCCTTGGAGGGGGTCCCGGTGCCTCAGATTGTCCTCACAGCCAGAAATGCACCCCCGGAGCATCGGGCATTGCCAGTTGATCTTCGACAGATGAACGGCCTCCTCCACACGGTTTTGGTGCCGGTCCCCTGTACCGAGGAGGCCATATGGGCTGCCCTTACTGAGAAGGGCGTCGACCCGCAGGGTAGACTCCGTCATGCCCAAGAGCAAGGCTCGGCTTCATTTTTCAATGAACGAGGCGAAGTCGCTGCCGGAGTGGAGCCAGGCCCCGATGGGCCTGAGTGGCTGGCCCTGCGTTGGACAGCAACCGATGACCCTCCCATTGATGTCGACTACGAGGGAGGTCCGGCGCTTGTTTTTCGTGTGCCACGGCCGCCACCTCGGATGCAGGTCGAGGGGACTACCAGCACCACAACCCAGGCGGTGGCGCCGTTTCGCGTGCGGGCTATCCAAGTCCTGATTGACACGCTCCCTGGACTTCCGAAGCCGCAGCTCATTCTGTTCCAAGCCGGGGTGCGCCTTGATCATGCGCCAGTTCCCTGGGATCTGCGGGAGGTTGGTGGCAACATCTATACTGTGCTACACAAGCAAGGGGAGCTTGTGTCCACTGCCATAGACCGGCTCCGGCAAGTCGCGCCACCAGCCCCTCCGATCTGTGATGCCCTCCGGGCCGGTAGGCTTGTGGTGATTGACACTTTGGGTTTGCTTGGGCTTCGTCTTCCAGGTGACCTCGAAGAATCTCAGCATTTTCGCGTTCAGGTTGCAGTGTGCCCACCTGCCCCTGCTTCCAGCTTGTCTGGCAGCGATGCTCCGGCCAGTACGCGTGAGTTCCTGCAATTGACACCGGAATCCACTACATCGACAACCACCACAGTCCCTGGCAGGCCAATTGGCACCCTGTACCGTCTTACCCTCCTCCATGGGACGGCTTCGCATACGGTTGCCGTTACTTCCCCGGGTTACCAATTCACGGCCATTCTGTGGACAGCTGTGCTTGAGGTTCTTGCGCAGCAACCCTGGCCCGGGGGGCCGCTCTACGCTGTTGCGGCCACTGCGCAGCCGCCTTGTGTTGAAGGCATCCAGGAGATTTTGACGATGCTCTGCCATGGGCCAGGAATGGATCCCATCACAGTTGCCGTAGACGAGCGAGGCCAGGACAACGGGCTTATGTCGTGCATGCTCTCGGCTGCCACGCCATGCAGTCAATTGGTAGCAGCCTCCTGGCAGAACCAAGATGTGCAGGCCTTTGTGAACGGTGTTCCCAGCTGTCTCCTCCGGCGCACTGTATGCACTGGCGACTACTTGCAATACGCCGTTAATGGCCATACTCCGACGAGCACACCTTTGGGGGCCATCCTCAATCTCTTCCCTATTCTGGAGGCCTTCGTGTGGCCTCAAATCCTGGGGCCCAGCGCATACACATTGGATGTGACCGGGGAGGTGCGGCTGAGGAGAAGGCTCCAGAGCCCACATGTGCATTGGGAGGGAACATGCGAGATACAAGGTCCCACCCACGGACCAATCCGGTACAGGATGCAAGTCCCGCAGTTTCCGTCCTTAGAGGAAGCTCAGGCAGGCCTTGCCCAATTCCCCGATGCTCCCGCGGCCTCCCTTCAGATCATCCCGGCATCTCAGCTTTGGGGACGGTTTGCAGTCTTCCTTTCTGTCGATGTCCGCACTCCGTATCGCAATGTTTTCCTGCCCCGCACAAATTTTCCTGGGCACTTCTCAGTGTTGACTATTGGCCCAACAGAGATCAACCTCCCAATCCCGCTCCCAGAAGGCGGCATTTACAAGTTCCCCCGACGGCCTTGGGAACATGGTAATGTTATCGAGGTGTTGATCCTTCCCCCTGTTGCCAGGCCTTATGCCTACTTCATTGCTCGAGGCCTGCCACTGCCCGTTGGGGCTGGTCAACAGGGACCTGCCCCTCGTCCCAACCCGGTTCAGCAGGTCCAGCGAGAAGGTACCAACCTGGCACAGATCAGGATTGAGAGAGGGGCCCGCTCGCAACCCGATAGGTGCCGAGGTCTCAGCGCAGCACGTAAGCAAGAAGGGTGCACATGCAGCAAGGCTAAGGTCACGTGCCCCTCTGTGCCTCGCGAGCAGCATAGTCTGTCAGTACTTGTCCCGGCCGACGGGTGCCACCTCACCCCCGAGCCCCGACACCATGCCGACCTGCCCGCAGATTGCACCACCGCCTCTGGCTGCAGGCCCCTGGTTCAGGGATTTACGGATGTGCCCAGGGCGCCTCTCGGCTTTCGGCCGCCGACCTCTGCCTATGCCACCCAGGCCGAAAGATTTCATTGATCCAGACGGTTTGCAGCTACACCAGCCCAAACAAGTCTTGTGTCTTGATACTCTGCTGCCAGTATCGATCAATGACACGGATCTGCAACCGCCGGGCGAGGCCCCTGCTTTCTTCCCGGTTACCACCGATCTCGTTGGTGACTTTTTCGGTGGATTTCACTTCAGTGGGCTTAGTTTTGACCTTCAAGGGGTTCACCTGCACCCGCAGGCACAGACTATGCTGCGCCTCCTCCCACGACAGGTCATCTCGGAGCAAACTGATGCTGTTCAGCTCTACGTTGATGGCTCCTTCAAGGACGGCCGCGGAGGATGGGCCGTTGTTGCTTTCGCACGGCAGAACTCGGTTTGGGGATGGGCAGGGCACTTGACGGGAACTTATCCCGACTGTCTCCCGCTCCGTAGTGCCTTTGAGCCTGAACTTGCAGCTCAATTTGTTGCGCGTTGCCTCACGGCAACCCTGCCTTGCCAGGCTGGCATCTGTTTTGACTCCACTGGAGCTGCCAGTGTAGCTGTTCGCGGTGGCACCTCTGCCCACGAGCAGCCACTAGCGGAAGCCACGCTTGCTGTTACTGCCTTTCTGCGTCTTGCACAACGAGAGCCCTTGTCGCTTCATGTGCACGCACATGAAGGGCAAGCTGCCAATGAGCTTGCTGACAGTCTTGCCAAAGCCTCCCTTCGCGCAGTACCTGCCTGCTCTGCGACGGGCCTCGCTGATGTCGCACCGAGCATTCTGCAGCGCGATTTCAGTTGGCTTTGGATTTATGCCCCCCGCCTCGAGGGGTTTCCTGACATCGACGCAGCCGGGCACATAGTGCCGAGCCCACCCAGCTCACGCCTTCTGCCCATTGCCACTCCTTCTGCTTGGGCCCCTGATTGGAGTCCGCCCCCCCGACAAGCCGGACCGATCTCGTGCAAATGGAGGCTATGCACATATAACACCCTCTCCGCGCTCAAACCGGTACAGCGCAAGTGCCTCAGTGCGGCCATGAAACAGCACGGGCTTGATGTCTTAGCCCTACAGGAGACCCGTATCCAAGGGCAAGCCGTCGAACTCACGGATGGCATCCTCAAGCTCGCTTCAGATGCGTCCGAAGGACAAGAGGGATGCCAGCTTTGGCTGCGCACCGAAGGCCCCGGGGGATGGGATCCATCAAAGGTCTGCGTTGCTTTTGCCCACCCCAGGCTCCTTGTTGTCTATGCGCAGTGGGGCAGCCTCCGTTTGGCATTTCTGGTTGCCCATGCCCGTACCACGGTTACGGCTGATAACGCTGTCCATGATTTCTGGCAACTCTGACTCTGCCGCAGTCGTCTCGATGCCCTTCCCACAGGTACAGTGCCCATCTTTATGGGAGACTGCAACGCCCGCTATACTGCCCGCGGCATGGTGCTCGAGCCGGAGAATCTCAACGCACAATGCTTTGATGACCTTTGCGCTACCTCTGGGCTCTGGCATACTGGCATCACTGCAGCCGACGGGTCACCCCTGAGAACCTGGCGGTCACCTCACGGTTTCCCGACTTGCCTCGACTATTTTGGGGTCCCGGAGTCATGGCAAAGCGGGCTTAGCAGACTTCGTACTGTGGACTTTCTTGATCTGCATGCGGAAATCGATCACTGGCCGCTTGTTGTTGACGTTGAGGTCTCTGCGCTTCCTCCGCCTCCCCGAGCAAAGACACCGGACACAGAGCTCATGCTCACAACGGAGGGCAGGTCTGTCATACACAACATCATGCAGCAGGTGCCCCCTATTCCTTGGGCGATGGATGCCAACGATCACCTAGCCTGTTTGAATAGCTATTTTCAGCGTGCTATCAAGCAACACTTCGGGGTTGCCCGGTCACGGCCCCGGTGTCCCTACCTGACTCAGGACACGTGGTTGCTCTTGGCACACCGCCGGCATCTGCGCCGCACTCATAGGCGGCGGGCGACCCTCCACCTCAGGGAAGTCCTACATGCCACTTTTCGGGCATGGGCTGCAGCGCCGCGTGGCAGCGCCGCAGATGACTTTGGAGCGCGCTTTGCTGCCCTGCGTCTTCGGAATGACTGCTGGGCCTTCTTGCACATGCGGCGCATGCGCGGCACCTCGAAGAAAATTCGGGCTTCGTTTCGCACGGATGCAGCAAACTTCGCTAGAGAAAACATGCGAGCCGCACGTGGTGCTGGCCCGGCAGAGCTTGCCCGACTCCTCCGCTCTGTCCTGAAGTCTGGCCGTGCATACAAACCTCCTAGGGTCGCTGTTGTCTTACAGGGCGCCGAGGGAGAGATCTGGGACGAGGAGGAAGTTGCAGCGAAGTTCAGTGAACACTTTGGCAAGGCTGAACAAGCAACTCCCAAGCAGCTTGCCGAGCTCGCCAATGACTCCCTCGTTGTCGTGCCGGACCAGCCAGTACCTGTCGAGGCACTACCTTCTCTGGCCCATATCACCCGAGCTTTTGCAGGGCTGAAGCCCCGCCGTGCTAGCGGTATCTCCCGCATATCGCCTGCTTTCTATAGCTCCGACCCGTTGGGTGCTGCTCTCGCCCACCTCCCACTGCTTCTTAAAGCTTCACTCCGTGGTACTGTTCCGTGCCTATGGAAGGGAAGCGTCGCGAGGCCCCTCGCCAAACCGGGTAAAAACCCCAGGAGCACCACGGGGTACCGCAGTATAGCCCTGCAAGAACCCGCAGCGAAGGCACTGCAAAAGGCTTTTAGACCGGAGATCGCGCGGGGTTTCGAAGCGCACACGCTTGCTTCAACTGGTGGGGCAAGAAAGGGTATTCCGTTGACCCTCCCGGCCCTGACCATCCAGTCACACATCCAGCTTGCAGCGAGGCGTGGAGTTTCCGCCTCTGTCATTTTCCTGGATGGCATTTCCGCCTTTTACAGCGTTGAGAGACTCCCGCTGTTCTCTGCTGACAGAGGGGCGCTGGAGCGCGCACTTTGGGCCCTTCCGGTTGAGCAATTGGTGGTTCAAACCTTCCTCCAGCATCTTCCCCCTCAAGGGGTGCTTTCGGCCCTCGGTGTTTCCCGGCCTTCGCAGCATGTGCTCCAGCAATTCCTTACCGATACGTGGTTTACCACTTTCCCCACCTCGCCTGTGGTACAATCCACGCAGGTTGGAACGGTGCCTGGGGCCCCCCTTGCTGACCTTCTCTTCCAGGCGATTGCCCTCGCAGCGCTGCAAACAATTGAGGAGCTCATGCGATCAGAGAGGCTTGCTGCGGCCATCCACATTGGCCACAACCACGTCACGGCCGAGCCCACCACGTGGCTGGATGACTTGGCTCTCCTGGTGGAATCCTCGCGGCCAGCTGAGCTTGGTGCGGCGACTGCCAGGGCAGCTTCGCTGGCTCAACAGTGTTTGCTGCTCATTGGAGTGCGCACAAATTTCGAGCCGGGCAAGACAGAGGCTCTACTTGTGCATAGGGGACGGGGCAGCCGAGCCGCTAAGCACGCTGTTTTCATCGAGGGCGGGGCTACTCTTGTCGGTGCAAGCCTTCTTCATCAACTCCGCGCGGTTCCGTCAACCAAGATTCTTTCAACCCCGCTTCTTTCAACCGTATTCCCCGCTTCCCTCAACTCACATTGTCCGCTTCTTTCAACTCCCGTCGTCCGCTTCCCTCAACCTGGACATTTCCGATTCAGTCAACCCCCATCGCCCGATTCCATCAACTCGTCGTGTGCTGATTCCGTCAACTCCGCCCCCCCGTTTCCCTCAACCCTACAGTGTTGTCAACGCATCTCGCCCGCTCTGTTGCCAGTCTCACATTCAATAATGCAGCCCTTACCCTTAAACAATGACCGGCGCCCTGAACATGCCGGCCGCCGAACGTCATGCGCCGCCTGCGGCACCTGGCCGTTACACTTCGAAACAATGATGCACGAGAGGTTGTGCCACCCGGCTTCAGTTCGAGGCTTTGGTTCAGGGTGGGCTGGCTGCTGTTGTCAGGTCTTCTGCATTAAAAGCTCCAGTGTTTCGCTGGCTTTGACGGGCTCCAGGTTTGCGGTTTGGCTTTCTAGGCTGGTGGTCTTGACGGTAGGGCTTCGTGGACTTCAGGGTTTGGGGTTTTGGATGCCTCAGGGCAATGTTGGCCCGTAGGAGAACGTATACCAAAGATTCTTCTTCCCAAAAACTGTTGCAACAGACAAAGCACCTCGAACCACGATGTGCCTCCAACGAACTAAGAGTCATAGGCGCAATGCTCAGGGCGATCTTAGGGTTCGGGTTTCGGGGTGGGTTTGCAGCATGGGCTGCAGTGATTAGGGTTCAGGTCTAGTGATTCGGGTTTCTAGGTAAGGTGTGGGTCACTACTTAAGGCTTCTCTTAGGGTCTGGGAATCCGTCAACAACTCCCGAGCAGTTCAGGCTCACTAAGCCCTAAACCCTGAGCCCAAGACTGCAAACAGTGAGAGCTCGGCACCTTGAACTAGGAATCTGCCTCCACACTCAGGCCTGCATCGCTTGACCTCTGCGCATTTCAAGCAGAAGCAGTACCAGAAGGAGCAAAAGTCGGAAGCACTTCCGACTGGGAAGGAGGTTCTTGCCGGCTTGCGGTTTAGGTCTCAGCTTAAAGTTTTTGGGAGCGCCCCGCTCAGGGCATGAGTCGCATTGCTTTATGACAGGCTTGAGGGATTTAGGACTCGGATTCAGAAGCTCAGGCGGTGAGGCTCTCAAGAGCAGAGATCATCGGGCCCTAATTAGGTAAAACTCTGGAGGACAGTCACCATGCACCGGCGAGTCCTCACCACGATTACATCACTTGGCGACTGAGTCCACTTCTGAAGTTCTACCCGGACCGCATTCCGGTCTACATGTGGCGGCCGCTTGGAACCCGAAACCTGAGGCTCAGAAACTTGCACCTTTGCACCTAGGTCCAAATCCCCGAACCCCCAGGCTTTGCCAGCCAAAACCCATATCCAACTATTGACGTTCCTGCATTACCCTACAGAAGCAGTTAGTCTGATTAACTACTGCAGTTTTTCCCGAAACCTTAAACGCTCAGGTCACCTGAACTTAAGCTAGACTCCTGAAGCTTGAACCTTGGACCCTACTGTAGGCGCCCGCAGAAGCATGTGCCTTACAACTCTATTCAACTTTTACTATCCTATGAAACCCATTCCGTTTTCGTATGACCCTAAGCGCCTTATCATTCAAACACTTTCATGTGCAGCCTCAACTTTAAACTTCGAAACACGGCCCTGGACTCTAAACCCTAATCCGTGACAGTAAGGCGCGGATCGGGGTGTGCCCTCTTCATGATCGCCACGGTCCTCGCCGCCGTCCTGTGTGCAGCGGATCTAACGAACTGGAGAGCGATCGTCCTCAGCATCTCAAGCGCCCTGGGCTCGTGGCAGGAGCTTAGATAAAGTTCTTGTGAGGGTTCCTTTCAAGCGTTACTAGAGGGGATATATAATGAAGGAGTTTAGCAATTGCATGCTGGTAAAGCTGTAGCTCTCGGGGGACACAGTTCGTGATTTCTCAGACCTCGACATTAGGACATCAGGATTCCGTAGTTAGTCCAGGGGTTTGCACTTCCCCGATCAACTCCAATACCTGGCCCCTTGTCCAGGAGTTCACATGCGTGGACAAGAAGCTTCAGCGAGAGGGCACGGTGCTGGCCACACTCCACAACCTGATGCCTGCTTGAAATTGCAAGACCGTTTTGGTCTGCATTGAGCATGTTTGTCTTTGCATCTCTGTGAACTCTTGAGATTTAGCATGCTCTGTCACGTGCTGACCTGCTCTGTCGTGCCAATAAGTGGTACTTGTTCTTTGTGCTATTCCACGTTGAATATTGTCATGCTACGTACAGGAGATGTGGTTTCTTGGAGACCAAACCACAGGCACTCGTGACACGTAGCCTGCGAGGTAGTAGCCTTCACTCCTGAACATTCGGAATCTCCCGCATGGCAGTTTCAGATCATGTGGAGCCCTTCTATAGAACCTTAAGTACTATGATCCTGATTACAAGGACGGCCGAAACCGGGGCCGAATTTTAAACTTTAACCCTAAACCCTAAGCCCCGAACACTCAAAAAAGCCCCAATCCCTCAACCCTAAACGTCTTCATATCTGAAAGCGTGTTGAGGATGCTGTGGTGCCAGCCTCTTCCCGACGTGGACAAGGCAAATTCTCGCCACTTCGGAAATCTCGTTGAGAGGCCTGAAGGTTCAGGGTTCATAGGGGAATCTACTGGCTCCTCATTTCATGCACGATGTCCTAGAATCCGGTTCCAGCTGCAGAAACTGGCCAGGGTAGGTTCAGGACGGGCTGTTGTGAGTGTGGTCGCGCCGGAGTCTGTTGCACAAGTGTATGTTTTATTATGCGCTGGACACTGACTTTCTGTTCTTGCTGGACGCTGGGCAGCATGTCGTTTCCGGGTGTCATAGCCTTCTGTTTAGCTGCGGTGGTTGTTTGGCTTTGCCCAGGACTGTTTCGATCAGTTGGCTTGAATCCTAGCTCAGGGCTCCGTCGCCAGTGCTGATTTTCAGAGGAAAACCCCCTCTTGAAACCCCAAGAGCCTTGCCTCTTGAATCAGGCAGCTGTGCTAGCTGGCAGCACAGCATCGCTGCAAGGCTTGGCCGGTGCCAGATGCACGCTGTGAGGTCAGTGGCTTTATGCGCAGCACGTTCACATGTAGCTCAGGGCTCCTCTTATGTCTTTGGACTGAACGTGCTTGATACCGATTTGCTCGCAGCATCCGAAGTCGATTTTGAGGATGAAGCGTTTTGATTCCCCGGCATTTAAGTCACAAGCATCATCGATATTGCTTTGACTGCTATGGCTGATATGCTGCCCGACGACGCGGAATCATCCCGCTCCGATACAGAAGGCCTGCCGCCGCACGCAGCCGCTTGACTTCAGTCCAACATTCTCTTGCATGCTGGGCAGAAGTGACGGCGCCTGCAGCTGACACGCCATCAGACGACTTCGGAGGACGATGTTCCTGCGCTTTTCTTTCACTTGTCACGGCCCAAGCAGTACATGCTGGCCAGGAGGCCTGACACCTGAAGCTGAAGCGGCGCAGAACTCCGCAGGACCATTGTTGCCGCCACACCTGATTTCGCTGTCCTTTTTCTTCCCATTGCGCCAGCAGCACGTGCCGATACATGCCGGCCAGGAGTGCTGACACCTCATGCTGAACCGCAACAAGACGCTGCAGGACAATTGTTGCCGCCACCTTGTCTTTTGCTGTCCTTTTTCACCCACGGCTTCAAGCTTTGCACGCTGACCAGGAGTTCGGACGCCTGAAGCTGAACTGCCACAAGACGCCCGTGAAGGACCATTGGCTTTCCTCTTTTTCTGCCCACTCCCCAAGCAGTACATGCCGCCGAGGAGTGCCGATACCTGAAGCCGAAGTGCCACAAGAGGCCCCTGAAGGACCATTGTCGCCGTTTGATTCTCCTTGTGCCACATTGTATTTTGCTGTCCTTTTCACACCCGCCTTCAAGCTCTGCACGTTCACCAGGAGTTCGGACGCCTGATGCTGAAGCACCGCAAGACGCCGCCGAAGGACCATTGCAGCAAAATGCATTTTGGCTTTCCTCTCTTTCTTCCCACTCCCGAAGCAGTACATGCCGGCTAGGAGTGCCGATACCTGAAGCCGAACTGGCACAAGAGGCCCCTGAAGGACCATTGTTGTCGCCAGATTTCCTTTGGTTTGCCTCGTTTTGGTTCCCACTGCTGAAGCAGGAGTGCCAGCAGAGCCTGCTCGTCGATCGCGGCTACGTCGCGGTGCCTGGCAGGAGTTGCCTGCGGAGACGCTGGACGCGGTGCCGGCCAGTGTGGATGACTTCCGAGGCAGCTCAATTTAGCCATCAGTCTCGCAGTCTGCAACTCCTGTGCTCGCCAGGCTGGCTGAAGACATGGATGGCACGCCATGGTTTCCCGAAGGCGTACCTCAGCAAGGTCCAGGTGGCGGACTCGACAGGCAACGCCTTCGCCTCTTGTCGGTGCAAGGCGCGGGCCTGGGTGCCTTATGTCAGCCTCCCACGGCCTCCCACCCCAGAACATAAACACAAGTGCCAGGTGGGGTGCCAGCTCACGTTGCGATGGCAGCTTCGTGGCTTATCCTGTGCTCCTTCCTCTCGTGGAGAACATCCGGTTACCAACGACCCCGTGCAGGACCAAGCCAAGTTACGCCATGCAGAGCGCGTGAAGCATCTAGTGCCACTGCGCGCGCTCGCACAGCTGCTCTCGGAAGGCGTGCCCAACGAGGCGGGCATGATTCGCCTTGCGGCCAGGGCTTCTAGACTCCGACTGCCCAAAACTAAACAACCCTAGTCGCCGTCAGGAAATGCCAGATGAGGCACAGCTGGCCAAAGCACACAGACGGTGCATCACGGCCAAAGGCAGCAAGCGCAAGATAGACGCCACTTCTGGTGACCTCCCGGCCTGGCTGGAGTTCTTGGAAATGCAGTTCTCATTACGGGAAGCAAAAAGTGGCCATGAGCTCAAGTACTGGGCTGCTGAGCTGCGGGAAGACGACAGCTTCCTTCCTTTGAGTGCCCTTGTGCAATTGGCACAGGCGGACGAGAAGGTGACCCCGGGAACTGCTGTCATGCGGAGTGACAAAATGATGGATATGGCTGCCCTGGTGCTGAGGACGTGCCCGCCGGTGCTCCTCTGCGATGTCACCTACAAGATCAGCAGCAGTGGCTGGGGGCTGGCGCTTTTTGCGCTTGCCTCTCAGCATCTGGATGCACACACCGCGTGGCCGGCCTCGCAGGCCGTCGTCCTCGGAGCTGCCTGGGTTCCCAAGGAGAACTACACCAGCTGGCTCGCAGCTCTGGCAACAGTGTACCGGATCTACCTCCCCTTGCGCTTGCATGAGAAGGTCCGTGTGGTTATGTTCGATGGAACAACTGGAGGCGAAAAGGCGGTCAAGTTTCTCCTGCCGGACGTGCTGCTGGCCAGGGACGTGCGCCACGTGCAGGCCAGGCAGCGGTTGCAGAGAATGTGAGACTGTAGCATGCATTCTGTCGTTGGTGTTCGGGTCCACTTGGCCGGGTTGAGGGGGGGAGGGGGCGGGGGGGGGGGAGGTGGAGGGGTGTGTGCTTGGCGTGGTTGATGCACGGAGTCTTGCGTGGCACATCCAAGTTGCAAGCTGTCCATCTCAGGGCTCCGTCGCAAGTGGCGATTTTCAGAGGAAAACCCCCTCTTGCAACCTCAAGCCTAGCATGCATTCCGTCGTACCGAATGATTTACTTCCGAGAATTCCGCCCTTCCGGCCAGTCCCACCCAACCCTCTCTTTCTGGCTGGATTTACAAGGGCTTACGAGGGGTTGGGTTTTACGTTTTTGCCTCTGCCCGGACATGTTGCATGCCTGCCTGATGCGGCTAGCGGTTGCAGCGAGTATAGTCTGTGAATTCTCTTGTTGAGGTCGGGGTCCACAAGGGCTTCAGCGGTTCTCGTGCGTTTTTCTTTCTTTTTCGCTAACCTTTGACCCTTGCTTCGGACAGGCCAACGTCAAGAAGCACAGTGCGTCATCATCCTCCACGCCACTGGCTGTGCGGGACTACTTGGCATCCCAGGTGCTCTTCAGTGCCGCCCTGCCTACGCAAACGCTCTTCACGATTCTCTGGGATGAGGTACTCAATTCCTTGTGCGGACGACCAGACATGCAAGCATATCTGAGCCAGCACGTTCTGCAACGCCACGCCACGAAGGATGTTTGGGAGGCGCCCTGGTGGGCTGGATTTGGCAGTGGCCTCAAGGGTGGCTTCACCACCCTGACTTCCTTTCAGGCCCTGGAGCGCATGAACCAGACCCTGAAGTCGTCCTTGCCCTCCAATTTCCATCTGCTGTCTATTCAGGATGTCAGTGAACGCATCGAGAGACTCTACAGCACCTGGTGTCGACCCAGGCACAAGCAAAAACTGAGCAGTTCCCAATAACAACTCCGGGGTTCCCAAATGTTCGGAAGCCCTCTACTAGCATGCAGCCATCTAGAACCTCCGCCAGAAGGTTTTTTTGGGGGTACGTCCCAGGAAAGGCTTCCAAGCCATCTACCGGAAGCGCCGTTGGATTGATCCTGCGACTGGCGACATCCAGCCAGGTCAGATCGCTCCGCGGCTCGAGGCTTTGGTTTACTCTTGTGCGGCTCCTAGAAGGCAAAGCAAGCAAGATCAGTTGACTGACCCTGACAAGGTCGTGCCACGCTTCGTGAATGGAGATTGGTTGCAGACTGAGAGAATGCCTTGGGAGGGCAAGCGTCAGTGGAAGGTGCCAACCGCTGCGCGCTACCTGGAGTATGCGCCGTCCAACTACATGACCAAGGAGATACAGGAGTTTGGCGGGATGCGGGTTCGGTCCGTAACCTTGATGCCCTTCGACAGCCCTGACTGGCATATCGACCCCGACACCTTCCAAGCCATGTGCGGCTTGGTTCTGGCCGAGTCCGTGGAGCAAGCCCTGACCTTTCTTGCCAAGTTGGGGGCCGTGAGGAAGGATGGCAGGGTGAGCTTGTACCACTTTCACTCGCTCATGACCAACCTGTGCCTGGTTTTCCAGACTGGTCAGCATGAGTTCTGCTGCACGTGCCGCCCTGCCGCATTGTTTTTTTGCGAACGCCCTGCACACATGCGGTGTTGTTTTACTGGGCCTTACGCCGAGGTCGAATCTATGCCCGGTGCGGCTCCTGTCCCCATGAGCTCTTCACCCGTTGGCGGCTAGGGGATCAGCGAGTGGTGGTTGCTCGTATGGCGCAGTTTGTGCGGGCGAATGCTCCTGTTGACATCGTCCATGCCAACGAGGTTCTCCGGCAAGAGATACTCGTCCGCCAGCTTCCGCGAAGATCGGCTTGGCTTACGCTTGCCAAGATTCAGGAGAGGCTTCAGCGACTGCGGGAGCGCAGACAGCAAAAAAAGAAGGAGCGTGAGCAGCAGCTTCTCAAGCTCTACGAAGATCAGGACCTCTTGGGGCTCGTGAAGACTCCAGACACAGAGGGCGTGTTGCGCGACAAAGCCTTGGCAGACGCGAAGGGGATGCTGGGGAAAAACTTCGTCAAGCAGCTGCAGGCGCTGCACAGCATGATCTTCTTGAAGACTACGCTCAAGGAAGCCAAGTCTATGAAGGCGACCGAGCTCGTGGTCACGCTGAGCAAGTCGAAAGGACCGGTGGCTGAAGCAGCCAAAATTCTGGTGAATGCTTGGAAAAGCGAGCTTGCAGCTGGCGACAAATCGACGTAGCGGGCCAACGGGTTCTACCTATGAGTGAGAAAATGCGGGTACAGGGGCGAACATGACTGCAAATTCAGTCTTGTTTATACGTGTACAGGCCTCGGATCGATGCTTTTGTACATGCACACGGGGTTTCAGCGCTGCTCGGAACGCGCCAAATGGCCTTATGCTCATGCTTCAATCTCTTGTCTTGAAGCTTCAAGCTAACATTCCTGCAGCTTCGAAATCAGATCCTTCAGATCCCTGCTCGCATTCGGCTCTAGTGGCAGCATTGGTGGCTCCGACACCAAAGCCCTCCCCTTGCTGCAGCTGGAGCTGGCGAGGGCATGAGTGAGGTTGTCACGCCGCCTGGGAGCTCGGCGGCGGATGCCATTGACGTCGGCGGAGATGCAGGTTTCTCTCCTGATGCATCTTTCAACGGGGATGATGCCTCGACTTCTGGAAGCCTGGCCACCGCAAGCCTAGCGGCGGGTGCTGTTGGCGACAGGCTCTCTGGGTACACAGGCGACTGGCCCAGTCCTTTCGGTTGGGATAGACGTTCCAGATCCAACGCAGGTAGTGGCGCATCATGCGCAGGTACTGTTTTGGACGAGGACACAGACGCTGATGTGGACATGTCAGGATCGCGTCCGGGATCGCCAGTGACGCCTGCTGCCGAAGCTGATCACGCTGAGTCCCAGGCTGTCGACATGCGTGCGCGGCGCATGTACAGCTGCACTTTTGGATGGTATGCAACCCAACACATGTCCCCGCAGCAGATGTGGGAACGTGTGGGGCTTCGGGGCATTTTGGATGCGTGCTGGGATGCTTTCGGTGCGCTTGAGCTGTCTCTGCGGTATCGAGGCTTCGACTGCTTTCTGCAGGGCCATGTGCTAGAACAAGCACATGCGGGCCAGTCCATCATTCTCCGCGTCACGGTGCAGGAGTTTTTGCAAGCACGGGCGGTCATCCACTACACTTGCACCTGGAGTCTGAAAGCTGCGGAGGGCTTGACCCCTGTTCAGATCTGGGATTGCTTGGGGATTGCCGGTCCTTTGCAGAGTGCGATGACTCAACATGGGCTCGTGGGCTTAGATGCGCCCGTGCATGCAGACGTTTGGCTGAACCGTGACATTCGGCAGCAACCGCTTCCTTCATGAGGCTTGCGATACAGGACGCGTTTGCCGAAGTGCAAGCTAATTCAGGTTATCTCGTGGCGGTTCAGAGGCTAGCCACGATTTAGCACTTCTGTGCACAGCGGCCGGGCATAAGTGCGGTCCGAGACAAGCATGTGGCAGCGCGCCAAAACATGTGGCTTCTGAGGTTGCTCCCGCATCGATCGTGCAGCGAAGCTTTCCAATTTCCAATCAGTGTGTACTCCAGCCTTTGTAGGAGACGCGAAAAATGCTGCCTGGAGCGTGCAGATGGGGAGACCACGAGGCAGGCTTGCGTGGCACATCCAAGTTGCAAGCTGTCAGGTCAGTGGCTTTATGCGCAGCATGAACACATATAGCTCAGGGCTCCGTCGCAAGTGCTGATTTTCAGAGGAAAACCCCCTCTTGCAACCTTAAGGGCCTACCTCGTACCAGCAGCAGCGCGGGAACCTTGAATCAGGCAGCCCGCGGATGGCTGGCAGCATAGCATCGCGGCAAGGCTTGGCCGGTGCCAGGTCAGTGGCTGTATGCGCAGCATGTTCAGTTTTAGCTCAGGGCTCCGTCGCAAGTGCTGGTTTTCAGAGGAAAACCCCCTCTTGCAACCCGAAGGGCTTATGTCGCACCAGCAGCAGCACGGGAACCTTGAATCAGGCAGCTCGCGGATGGCTGCCAGCATAGCATCGCTGCAAGGCTTGGCTGGTGCCAGGTCAGTGGCTGTATGCGCAGCATGTTGAGATATAGCTCAGGGCTCCGTCGCAAGTGTTGATTTTCAGCGGAAAACCCCCTCTTGCAACCCGAAGGGCTTATGTCGTACCCGCAGCAGCGCGGGAACTTGAATCAGGCAGCTCGCGGATGGCTGGCAGCATAGCATCGTGGCAAGGCTTGGCCGGTGCCAGGGCAGTGGCTGTATGCGCAGCATGTTCAGATATAGCTCAGGGCTCCGTCGCAAGTGTTGATTTTCAGCGGAAAACCCCCTCTTGCAACCCGAAGGGCTTATGTCGTACCCGCAGCAGCGCGGGAACTTGAATCAGGCAGCTCGCGGATGGCTGGCAGCATAGCATCGTGGCAAGGCTTGGCCGGTGCCAGGGCAGTGGCTGTATGCACAGCATGTTCAGATATAGCTCAGGGCTCCGTCGCAAGTGCTCATTTTCAGACGAAAACCCCCTCTTGCAACCCCAAGGGCCTAGCCTCAAGCCTCGTACCCGGAGCAGCACGGGAACCTCGAATCAGGCAGCTCGAATGGCTGGCAGCAGAGCATCGCTGCAAGGCTTGGCCGGTGCGAGAGAGAGGGCTCCTAAGTCAGGCCGCAGTCACACCTGATTATGACATTTGTCGGACGTTGCAATTGTAGACAGTTTAGATCTTAGTCCAGAGAACTCAAACTCCAGTTGCGATTCTTTGGCGCGCCCCAGAATCCTAAAGTAGCCTGCGGGGACTAGTTTTGTTTCAAGGGGAGGGTGGCTTAATGAAGCAGGGTTTCGGGTTTAGGGTTAAGCAACACATCGGAGGGTCATATATTCTGGCAGCCAGCAAGCCCAGTGTCAAAAGGGTTATGCAGCAAGCTCACATACGAGAGGAGGGTTTACCGCATCGCGCTTGGGATATACACATCTTTCGGCGACCACCTTGCGGCTAAGCATTTCGGAGCTCGGCCTTGCATACATCCAAACATCAGATTGGCTTTTTACTTGCTCCCAACGGTAAGCTTCGAAAGTCGAGATTGGGCATATACCTGGTTTTCGGCTGTATCGCGCAGGATACGTGCTTCGGCAAGGATCGAAGAGTAGTTAGCTGCAGCTGCAGTAATGCAACAACAGAAACCAGCGTCACCTTCGTGCTTCCCTAGTAAAACGCATTAATGCCACATCCATAATGGCAGCAGTCCGCGAGCTTTCGTTAAGTTGGCAACGACAAGCAAAATCCAGCGTCACCTTCGGGATTAAGGTTTGTGTGATGTGTGATTCCGGCGTTGATGTGTATTTCCCTGAATTTAGCCTCTACATGGGGTGATGCATATTTCTGCGCCCTGATGCGTGCTAACCCATCGCCCCCTGCTAGCTCAGGCCTCCGTCGCAAGTGGTGATTTTCAGGCAAAAACCCTCCCTTGCAACGAGTGCACTGTGCCTCTCTAGCCTCAAGCCTCGTGCCCGGAGCAGCACGGGAACCTGGAATCAGGCAGCTCGGATGGCAGGCAGCAGCATCGCTGCCATCGCTGCAAGGCTTGGCCGGTCCCAGAGAGGGGGCTCCTAAGTCAGGCCGCAGTCACACCTGAGTACGACATTTGCCGGAAATTGTAAGTATATAGACAGTATAGATCTTTGTCTAGAGCGATTCTTTGGCGTGCCCCGGACTCCTGGAGTAGCCTGCGTGGGACCTTGCTCATGCAGTCAACAAACCCACACAGAGCATGCAGCTAGCCCAACCTACACTCAAATATGACAGCCAAAGGCAGTCCAGCAAAGCCACGAACTAGCACACAGGAGTCGCAAGCGTAGCAGACATGGAGGAGACTTACGAGAAGAAGTTCCGGGCCTTGAAACGCCCGCGGCCTTTGTGGCAACGTGTGGTGCTGCAAACTCCGCCTATTCGGCTCCTGCGGTGCCTGCTCATCCGAGCATTTTTCGATCACTGGTATCAGAAGACTGAGGTCACGACAGACGAGTGGGAGGCCCGACGCCCTCGCAGATCATACAAGGCCATGCTTGCCTCCTTGGGAGCTGAGGACATCCTCAAACAGCCCGTCGAACTTTGCTGGAAGGAGCTCAACAGACCAAACTCCTCCAAGTACAGGCACCACCGCAAGACCACTGTGGAGGCCGTCCTCCAGGGCCGTATTAACTGGTCTTCGACGGACCGAGCTACATTGTTGATTAGGGCCATGCTGGAAAAGGTGCCTTTGCGCGACGGCCAGCAAAGGCACATGGCCGTCGTCCTCGGTCGATTCTCTTCGGTAGCCTTCGTCCAGCGTCTCCAGGAGGAACTTCCGATGCCACGCATTCGCAGGCAGGACTTCATGCCAGCCATTCAGAAGCTTATCCGTAACACACCGGATTTGTCCAGCTTGCTATCCAAGCAGTTCTATGCTGCTGAGCGGAACACAGTGGCCAAGATGAGTCGGAAGAAGGCGCAAGGCTGGTTCGAGGCACAGGTAAAACACTGCAAAGCGGTCTCGGAAAGGCTCGGAAAGACCCCGTGGAAGGATCATGCTGCCCTTTTGGCGGCAGCGTTTGGCCGTTTCGTCGGCAAGAATGTCCAGTCTGTGCTGCACATGCAGAATATGACCGGCTCCAAACTGTTGCTCTGTGGCCCCGGGGCCCTAAAGTTCTACTGGGACGTTCAGGGCATGAACCGGCATGCCCTCAACCTGGCTGCGGGTCCGGCTGGGCTGGAGCAAGGCAGCGCATTCATCATGCAGGCTTCCAAGCACTTCCGACAGCTTATGAAGGTCGACATGCCGGAACTCTTCAATAGCAGAGCGCAATCTTGGCTGTCGGAGTATCCAGCCCTGCTACAGCATCTGAAAAGCTGGCTTTCCGAGGACGATTTTCCCTGGGATGGGATGACGACCCAGTTCTGCCTCTGCGAGCTTTCTCGCATGCAGAAGCGCATCTTCGACAGGGGTGCAGATGTCGAGGACGAGGACGAGGAATTAGAGGAGGAGCCGGAAGACTGACTTCCGCACAGAACTCACAAACCGCAAAGCTCGGCCACGAACACCCAACAGGGACAGAGATCGCGGGGACGGAACTCGCACAACTAAAGAACCAGAAGCCTTGATTCCACCTCTTGAACTCCGAACCCCCCCGGTCTCAGACTGCACCTGCGCAGGCCTGCCGCGGTGCCGCGATGAACTTGACGGCCGCCAGTGCTCTTTTCGAGCTCCGCCGCAAGACAAGACAAGGCAAGTTCCTGCACAGGGTTTATAGGCTAGGGAGACTGGACTAGTATAGGTTTAAGTCCGAAGCCTGGGTGTGGGGCCCAAGATCAGCACGAGCACTTCCTTGCGACGATCACTCACCACCGGCAGAAAGTAACCATTCAGCATCACCCTGAACCTTTAGTACTTACACCCTATCGAGCTCGTGTACGAACCCAGCAGTTCGCAGCGGCTCTAGGTGTCGCGCCCTGCACCTGTCAAGCTTTCAGGAACCTTTGCCAAGCCCTCTCATAGGCCCCTGGTCACAAGTAGGCATTTTCTCGGAAAAATGCGCACATGCAACGTTTAGCGCACAGATCGCCAGGACGGAACTCGCGCAACTACAGAACCAGAAGCCCTGATCCCAGCTCTTGAACTCTGAACCCCCCCTGGTCTCAGACTGCACCTGCGCAGGCCTGCCGCGGTGCCGCGATGAACTTGACGGCCGCCTGTGTTCTTTTCGAGGTCCGCCGCAAGACAAGACAAGGCAAGTTCCTGTTTCGGGTTTTTTGGCTAGGGAGACTGGACTAGTATAGGTTTAAGTCCGAAGCCTGGGTGTGGGGCCCAAGATCAACGCTCGGCACGAGCATTTCCTTGCGACGATCACTCACCACCGGCAGAAAGTAACCATTCAGCATCACCCTAAACCTTTAGTACTTACACCCTATCGAGCTCGTGTACGAACCCAGCAGTTCGCAGCGGCTCTAGGTGTCGCGCCCTGCACCTGTCAAGCTTTCAGGAACCTTTGCCAAGCCCTCTCATAGGCCCCTGGTCACAAGTAGGCATTTTCTCGGAAAAATGCGCACATGCAACGTTTAGCGCACAGATCGCCAGGACGGAACTCGCGCAACTACAGAACCAGAAGCCCTGATCCCAGCTCTTGAACTCTGAACCCCCCCTGGTCTCAGACTGCACCTGCGCAGGCCTGCCGCGGTGCCGCGATGAACTTGACGGCCGCCTGTGTTCTTTTCGAGGTCCGCCGCAAGACAAGACAAGGCAAGTTCCTGTTTCGGGTTTTTTGGCTAGGGAGACTGGACTAGTATAGGTTTAAGTCCGAAGCCTGGGTGTGGGGCCCAAGATCAACGCTCGGCACGAGCATTTCCTTGCGACGATCACTCACCACCGGCAGAAAGTAACCATTCAGCATCACCCTAAACCTTTAGTACTTACACCCTATCGAGCTCGTGTACGAACCCAGCAGTTCGCAGCGGCTCTAGGTGTCGCACACCCGCACCTGTCAAGCTTTCAGGAACCTTTGCCAAGCCCTCTCATAGGCCCCTGGTCACAAGTAGGCAACTCCTCGGAAAGCTGCGTACATGCAACGCTTAGCGCTTGCGGTCGCTTTCCCTATACAGTCTCCAGTGTAGTTCCTTGCTTCAGCGAAAATATGCATTTAAACAACAGCAGAAAAGAACTACAATAAAGACTATACAGGTCGGGTTCATATAGCATCAGGGTCCTTAAAAGGCAAGAACAGGAATCAAGCTTTCAAAACACAAATTGGATTCCAAACTTCTCGATTTGCGGGGCTCGAAGAATCTTGCAGCCCTTGGGTTCAGTACCTGCTGGGAGCTAGGTTTTAGGTTGATTGGCTAGGGTCTGCTTTTTTCTGGATTCGCAGTGAGCGATCGCGTCCGAGGCCGCCCGGCTTGGGGATGATTGTAGCACATGGGTACTTTACCTCTTCAAAAGTGACGGAAAATACCCAGAAGGATGATGATGCACTCAGGCTTACGAACTTCACACATCGTGACGACAGGAAAACGGAGGGAAAAGGAACACCAACCGAAGCTGCCCTTCCTGGTCCCGGCTTCTTGCGTAACTGCCTCGTCTGTTGCAGTGCGGAGTACCCGGACCCGCTCTTTGTCTAGAAACGAAAGGGAGAGCACGAACCAAAGCCGCCTATCCTTGCCCTGCCGTGTTGCGTAAGGACCTTGTCTGTTGCAGTGTGGAGTGCCCGAAGACCCCGGCTAATAAGAAACAGCATTACTTCAATCATCATTTAAGTGCCCAGACCTCGAAGGGTAATGAAAGCCCCAGCCGGATCGGTTCAGTGGAACTTGACAACTACATCCTGGCAAATGCCCGGTCTACGGGATTGAAGGGCAGGCAGGGTCGAAGTCTAAACTTCAAGTTGGGGAAGGTCAGCGCGGTTTAGTCTTTGACGCCTGTATCACCCTTTGCCGCCTCGCCACCAGCCCTCAGACGACCAACCCATGGCCCACACGCCCAGGGTCATTTGCAGTTACGGATTTCTCTGTTGCGCCCTGGCAAACCCCTTTCGCCACGGTACTACCAGCACGGTTCAACCGGATCTATACATACCACCCGGCTCTATAAAGATACACCCTCTCTAACCGGACCTATAATGCATGATCCAAAATTTTGAACCCATGTTCGTACTTGGCTTGAGAAATTTCAAGCTCTAGATGCGTTCCAGACGGTGAAAACGATGCATTGTGAAGAACTTTAGATGCAGAACCGTCCTGGGTTCAGTAATTCTGAACCGTCGATGGACCTGAAATCGCAAGAATGAATCCTCATCTCATTTTTGCCAACACATTCCAAACCGGCCCCCCCCCACCCAACCCCCCACCCCCAACCCCACCCACCCTCCACCCCCCCCGACACCCCGCCGCTCGACGGGGCCTGGGTACCCGGGCTTGGGTTTGAGGTTGAGGCTGCGATCTTGAACATAAAAGAAGAGAGTCTTGAATTTTTGCGAGAGTTTATCGGTTTCTTCAGAGGGTTTTCGAGGTCTTTTCCGAATTTGGGCTCTGACTGATGAGCATATAGAGAGTGTTTTATAGTATATTCTCGGGTTGATATATATATATATATACATAGGAGATATAGGGGTTTTAATAAGTTGTATCAATCGCAGTTGCATCGCTTCTGCTCGAGCTCTGTATGTGCATGTCGAACTCATGCGCATTGATCGAGACGCAACCTGGCTTTGCGAAGGCAGTTTTGTGGCTTTGCTGGCACGCCTGTCCCATGCATGTTCACGTTGAATTGCAACGCTAGTCGCGGACCATGCCGGCCCATGTATAGTAGGAGTGAATCGCGGCGATGCAACCCGTCTCCTATACATTCCACACATTCTTTTATTGTAGAGAGCGTCGGCTTGCCATTTTTGCCGCTGCCTGTAGTGAAGACCTACCAGCAGCAGAAGGCTGGATGGACTCGAGTTTAGGAATTGTGTACGATCCTAACCAAACCGATAGCGGATGAAATACAGGCTGTGGTCACTGGTGGTGCTGGGAAGATCTCGAAGGCGGGATCTTGGAGAATGGGAAGTGTTAATAAGATTGACAGACCTCAATTTCGCAGGCTGCGCTCGCAAAAGACGAGACAGCGTTGCCGATCGAGTGATTATGTCTTCGAAGGCACGATGCAGGGTAAGTTGCCCTACAAGGTGACAGTGCGAAAGATCGATGTGTAGAGATATAGAAGTATATTGCATGAGAGATCGTGAGAGAGAGCTGGGGGAGAGATGGAGACAGACGGAGAGAAAGATATTGAAACAGTTTGGCAGGCTTAGAAGATCCAGCTCTGTCCTTGCCATGAAGGCGAGATTGAGAGTTCGAGGGTGCTGGCTTGCAAAATGAAGGTACGCATGTTTGACAATCGATCTGGCAGGATATAGTTCGTGAAGAGGCAGTATTCCCGAAGACAAAGAAAAAGAAGGCGATGCATGATTTTGTTCAGCCATTTATATATTCATATACAGATTGCAATCCTGCAGGCTCTGATGCTTGCTGACGAACTATATCCAATATTGGATCTGGAGCAGATTGAGCGGACCGGCTCCATCGTTCCTGGGTCCAGCCGAACCCATCGAAGTCCGCGTGTGCGGCGTTTTTTTTCATGGACGGCCAAGTTCGCCGGCACTAAACGCTTTTTCACGAGAGCGACACTTGTGATAACGATGCGCATACTTGCAGATTGGGGGCTTCGACCAGGATGTCTATATGGCATGACACTGGACGAATGGTGCAAGGATCAAGCAAAGATCGTCCACTACCTTTGCCGAAGGGCGAAGAAAAATGCCTGGGAGCGCGAGTTCCGTTTGAAGGCCGTGTAGCTGCATGTATACTGCCAGAAACTGGAAACTGAGATTCGAGCGAGAGAACGGGAGATCGAGAGATAAACTGAAACATAAAATAAACGATATCAATAATTTCCTGCACGCAGGCAGAAAGCTCCACATCGAAGACTTCGAAGGACATGCGTTGCGATTGATGGACCTGCCTGTTGGGACTGTTGGGACTGCATGCATGCTCTCGTATACATATATATATATATATATACAGAAATATGCACGCAATATAGTTTTTGCACGCATGCCAGGCGCGCGCATGCACACACGCCTGGCGCGCACATACGAGCACGGATATTCATACAAAGGTATATTATACAGATACATTGCAGATATGCACGACATCTGCTTGCACGCGCGCCTGGCGCGCGCGCGCACGTACGCGCACACATATATATATATATATATATATATATATATACATATGCAGTGTCATCTCTTTGCACGCGCGCCCGGCGCGCGCACGCACGCGCGCCCGGCGCGCACGATATAGTTCCGCCATATATTTATATGCACTATATATATATATATATATACACATATTCACCTGTTTGCATGCGCGCCCGGCGCGCGCACGCACGCGCGCCCGGCGCGCACGTACACGCACATATATTCATAATATATATCGTATTTTATAATATTTATATATATGTCTACACATTGCACGATTGCATGCGCGCCCGGCGCGCGCACGCACGCGCGCCCGGCGCTCACGATATAGTTCCACCATATATTTATATGCACTATATATGTACATATATATATATATGTATATGTTTGCATGCGCGCCCGGCGCGCGCAGGCACGCGCGCCCAGCGCGCACGTACACGCACATATATTCATAATATCTATCGTATTTTATAATGTTTATATATATATATATGTATACACATTGCACGATTGCATGTGCGCCCGTCGCGTGCCCGGCGCGCTCACGCACGTGCACATATATATCCGCAGATGACACATGTACGCATATATAGCACATGATATATGTGTCTTGCTTCGAAGCATGCAGATCGATTGCCAGCGATCATGGACCGCTAGCACGATGGTTCAAGGGCCCATGCCGGGACGGCGATGAAAGCCATGAAAGCCATGAAGGCGATGAAAGCCATGAAGGCGATGAAAGCGATGAAAGCCGGCAAGGCGATGAAGGCGATGAAAGCCGGCAGGGCGATGAAAACGATGAAAGCCGACAAGGCGATGAATGCCAATAAAAAGCCGGCGGCCAAGAAGTCGCGCAGTGGTCGGAGCAACTGGGACACGTGGCGATCCAAGCGTGGCATGGAGCCTACTTATGTGGCGGTGCGGCAGCCTTCGGAAGCCAATGAGGTTGCAGACGATGCGGACCCGCTGATCGCAGAGCCGACGAATGGCAACGAGAAATGCACGCAGACCCCGTTTTTTATAAAGCGCCTGAGGCGTGCTCGCGACAAGCAGGACAGATGTTGGTGTTACTATTAGTACGTTCGAAGCTCTGAGTACGCATCAATCAACCCATGCAGTTCATCTTGATATGCAGGATCTCGATGTGCACGGCGTGGACAACCTCCTCACCCCCAGTTCCCAGTCTTACCTTTTTTGAGCAGTTTGTTCCTGCTGTGATCTTACATTCTGTCCAAATATAGACTTAATCTTGTTGTTGGCGGTCTTATATTGCGCAAAGGCCGACCCGTTCTGCATTTGGGCACGAACGAAGCCGTCGACGTTGGTGATCGACTCATCTATCGACCGATGATGCAGAATCTCCCCAGCTACAAGTAGGCCGCATGCCGATGGTGCAGCTTCCTTACAGGGAGATCTGGATGTGGTCATCCTGAATCCTTGTGGACAACGGATGGTGGATGGATTTGGGCGAGCGCGCCTGGCTTTCGATGCTCTTCTGCCTTTGGTTCTTGGCGATACGGCGAGATCCGGTTCATGCACTGCGAGCCACGGCACCTACAAGTAGGGTGGAAAATGTCGTGCGATTTGCTGTGTTGCTTGATAGAGACAACAACAACTACTGTTACGACGACTACTACTGCTGCAAATGCTGCCTGCAGGAAGCCGAAGCTTTGGTGGATGCGGAGGAAGCCAAGGAGATGCTACCTATGTTGGGTTTCATTGCCATGTGATAATTTTGGTCCCATTCGGAGGACTCAGATGCATGGAACGAAAACGACGAGGACTGATCCATTACCATATTTCCATCCTAATAACCCTAATCCCTTCACATCTGTATTCACCCATATGACAGCCCATTCCGGAGGAGTGGCCAGCGGATGAGTGCTTGCAAGGTGGCGAAGAGGTGCAGTGTCGACCGTTCCAAGTATAGTAAAGCTATTTTCCCTTAGCCCCAGCCCCTTCGATATCCACCAATGTTTCAGGAATGGCCAGACGATGAATGGAACGAAGCTCAAGAAGAGGAGCAGGTTCGACATTTCCGACTACCAAGCTGTGTTAAACTGTTCCATGCAGGATGATGGGATGATGGATCTTGACGAGGATCGACCTTTGCGATTGCGGCGTTGTGTGGTGTTTACTGTCTATCAAGTTGCGACAGTTTGTTGCTATGTTCTATAAGCAAATCGAGGATCTCCATCTGGAGGAATGGTTATCCTGGATAGACGATGCCAAGGACTTCGTATGTTATTGCATTCGCTGAATAACTTTAATCCTTGTAAGCCTCGTACCCTGAGGAATCTGAAAGGGATTGGCCAGCCGATGACGAGGACATAGAGCGACGGAGAGTGGGAAAGCGTGAGAAAGAGAGAAAGAGAGAGAGAGAGAGAGAGAGAGAGAGAGAGAGAGAGAGAGAGAGAGAGAGAGACAGAGGGAAAGAGCGCGAAAGAGGGAGAGAGAGAGAGAGAGAGAGACAGAGAGAGATAGATAGAGAGGAGAGTTATGTTCACGAAATAATTGCATTGCTGCAGGAAGCTTGGGAAGAAGCATGTCCTGGAGACTGGAAGGTTCTGGGGCAGCCTTCTATGTTTGATAACGTATGCCATGCTCCCATGAGGAAGCTGAAGAGGATTGGCCAGCCGATGACCAGGACTAACATTAGAAGGATGCAGGTGTGTTCACTGGATATTTCATTCGCTGTTGCAGGAAGCTTGGGAAGGAGAATGCCCTGGAGACTCGGAGGCTCTCGGGCAGCATTGCACCGTGTCTTGCAGCTTGTTTGATATCGTATGCTACGCACCCATGTAAGGAAGCTGAAGAGGATTGGCCAGCCGATGCCTGAGACTTATTTGTGCTTTTCTTTGCTGTTCCCTGAACAACTCGGTCGGATAATGCCTGCTGCGCAGGAAGAAGTTTGGGAAGAAGATGTCACAACAGAAGCTTCCCAGGACTCGTGTTGCCTTCACTGAAAAACTTGTTGTACTAAATTCTACATGATGCGCAGGAATGCTGGAAGGTAGCTGGTGCAAAACAGTCCAAGGCACACGTCTATTGAGTGGCTTTTGTCGTGTTGTATTCGAGGAAATGCACAGCTGATAATAGCATAGCTTCCTTCTCGACTGCAACATGTTGTACAGGAGTCCCAGACAGCGGTGGCCTCTGTGTCTTTCGGTTGCAACGATTCCGAATGTGCTGCAATTTTTTGGGGATTGTACCACATATACCTCAGGTCGCCTGACAGCGACATTTTCTATAAGAACGGGGACGATCTCTATCGGAATTACGCGTTCCCGCAACACGACGTGAGGCGATGGATGAAGCCAGGTAGCATCTGGGATGCTATCCCGAGCGCGAAAGATTCGAAGGTCTGGGGGAGATGGGTGGTGTTTCATGTTAGAAAACTCTGAGCGTGTGTGCAGTAAAGGCTAAAGGTGTATCGCATGCATCGCACCATGGAGGTAACCGATGGGGATCGGTGGCCCGATGAATCTGAAAAGTCAGTGTATGCGGAGGCAGCTCCTCGCTTTTGTGTTGTCGCATCAGGAATTAACCGTAACCTGCTTTGTATACCTTTGGTGTGACCATCATACTCCTGAACCCTTGAAATTACCTATATTGTCTTTCTGCCACACAGGCCTCGGACGTTCCCAGGCCGCCAGGCGAAGCCGAAGAGGACAATGGGGATTGGCCGGATGAAGAAGAGTGGGGAGACTCTGAACAGGCCATGAGTTTGCAATTTCAGTTGAATCCTTGGCAGATATGTGTTGCTGTGTGGGCAACCCTGAACAGGCTTGTGATGATTACATATCAGACCTATCCTATGAAGAGAGCCCGAATGGCACGATCTACTTCGATGAGAGAAACGAAGCCAAGTTCGAGGTGCTGTACAGCACGTGGGCTAGTTTTGCATTGGGGACAGGCCTTGCTACTACTCGGACTAGTTATGTACCATTCAGTTACTACTTCGACGACGACTACTCTACTACTACTACTACTACTACTACTACTACTACTACTACTACTACTACTACTACTACTACTACTACTACTACTACTACTACTACTACTACTACTACTACTACTACTACAGTACTACTACTACTACTACTACTACTACTACTACTACTACTACTACTACTACTGCTACTACTACTACTACGACGACCATTTCTACTACTATTTCTATACTACTACTCCTACTATATGCTCCAACTACCACTTTTCTACCACTACTATTACCACCACCAAGACCATGACCGCCGCCACGACTACCGCCACCACCACCGCCACCACGACTACTACTACCACTACTGCTGCTGTGGCTGCTACTGTTATTGCTACGACTACTGCTTACTGTCTCTTGCCGCTGTTCAACCAGGCCATCCGCAATGAACCCCCGGAGTACGCTGCAGATTACTGGTATCTCAGCCCGGTTGCTTGGCTGCAAATATGCCGATTCCTTGGAATCGGACCCCCTCAAGTATGTTGGAAATTACTGCTATCACAGTCGTGTTGCTTGCCTGCAAATATGCCGATTCCTTGGAATCGGCCCCCCCCTCGAGTATGTTGGAAATTACTGCTATCACAGTCGTGTTGCTTGGCTGCAGATACCGTTTAAAGTTGTTCGATAAGCAGGGCATGTTTTCGATCAAAGGCAGATAAAATCGCGATGGCGGTTGAAGAGCAGATGCGCAACAAAGAGGCGGAGGCAGTGCATATATACATAAATATATATATATATATATATAGACATAAATAGACACCAGTATCCATCAGTGTGGTCCTGAACTTTGCTGGTGCATGGCATGGGTTTGCGAGGCTTGGGAAGCAAGCAAGAAAGCGCTCAGCAAAGAGGGCAAAATCGACCGCGACGAGGCTGATTCGTACTCCATATCACCATAATTATTTGTTCGTACATATGTAAAGATACATTGGGTGGTATTAGAGACCTAGTAGGCAGATCCTTTATAAGTTTTGATTACATATATAGCTCCACACTACATCTCATGTCCCCTAGAAAGCCTTTATATGTCACTATTGCTACCAGAAGTAATGCGTGCGCAGGACTTCGATGAGAACGACGAGGAAGCAGATTTCGAAGCCACTGGTCGTGAACCGGATCGCAGGTTGCAGTTTGGCTTCATAAGAGTATCCACCTATGGACCGATTAAGGCTGGAACGGAAAAGGTGCGTGGCAATCGATCTTTGGTTACTGCAGAAGCTTGGCGTGTGTGGCAAGTCATTTTCTGCATGCGCGGTTTCATGCCGGTACCGCGGGCAATTTCAGGACCCCTGGACTACTGGATTGGAAGGTGATATCGGCGACGGCGATGATATCAAAGCGATTGCTTTCCGCGCGTGTGTGACGGGAGAACATGTCGCCTTGAACCCAGCCCGCCAGCGACTTCTGGTTGCTAGCTGCACGGAGGCCAAGAGAAACAAGTCCAAAGGCAAAGCGAAGGCAACCAGCAAGGCGAAATCCAAACCAAAAGAAAAAGCAAAGGCGGCCCCCAAGGCCAAAGGAAAAGCCAAAGCGAAAGCAAAGGCGAAGGCAAAAACCAAGGCAGAAAGCAAGCATGCTTCGCAGATGTTGTTGCATGAGTTTCGAGGGTTGCTTTTGGTATTCAAAGTCAGGCGGATCCGAAGCCTCCAAAGAAAAAGAATAAGCAGTCGCGATATGGTATCGCCAAAGATGCTTTCATGAAGCAGCTGCATGGCCCGCAATACTGAACCCTGTAAACCCTAATGTACATATTATAGGAAGTGTTGGGCACAGACACACACACACACCGCATCGTGTTTGAGCTCTTCTCCGAGGCTCAAGGAGAAGAAGCCGGATCTGACATGGGATGAACGAAAGGACAGGCTGGGCTGCTTTGCGCCGTCTCTAGATTCCATGTATTATTCTTTTCCTTCGGCAGTGCTCTTGATTCGGCATTGTTGTATGGGAGTGTCGACAATACTGATGCCAGAACTTGAAAACTAGTCAGTGCAACACTCTCTTTTGCCCCCTCTCTCTCTGACTCTCTTGTCGTATCTATTGCTGATAAACATAGAGCGAACCTTGACAAATATACCTGCGTGTACACAGCCTTCTCCTCAATTAGCCCAATTGGGCAGGTGGTGGAATTCCCATGCTCGTGAGAACGTCCTCGCAACCTTTTCCAGCTCGGAGCTTTCGCGCCGCCGCTTTTGATGGCACCGTGGGCTCGGGTTGCACTTCAAGGTTTTTCGGCTGAGGTTTTCGAGTCTAAAATGGTTTAGGGGTAGGGCCTAGGCTTTTTTATAGGCCTAAAACTAGGGTTCATGGTTTATATACAAGGTTTGTGGGACCGGGGCTCAAGGTTTAAAGGCCCTATATATATATATATATATATATATATATATGTGTATACATATATATAGGGTTGCGGTTCTGGCCCAGGGTGACCGATGGTTTGGTGCCTAGGGTTTACGCTTTAATAGTGAACATTTGCTGGGTTCAGCAAAGAGCCCACGTGGATCATGCTATGACAGAATATCTGTCAGATTTTGGCGGTGTCGTCATTGCACCTGAGCACTGCCGACCCGGTGAAAATATCAGAATCTTGCTGATAACTAGCAACTTGGCTCGTGTATCTTGGCCTGGGGATCTTGCTTTGTCGATCTTGGGTAAAGATCTCCTCTTCTGGTGCTGGCTTAGGGTTTAGGGCTTAGGGGTTTAAGAGTCAGCGCTTAAAAGCCCACCCATTAATCAGAGCCCTTGCTTAAGCACCCACCCATTAATCATTCAGGCTTTAGCGGTTTAGGGTTTAGGCGTTTAGGGTTCAGAGGTTCAGGGTTTGCGGAGTTGGGGTGTAGGGGCTTTGGGGTTTAGGGTTTGGGGGGTTTTGGTGTTTACGGTTTGGGCTTTAAGGGTTTAGAGGTTTAGGTATTGCTGTGTTGGGATAAGTACTACTGCCACTACTACTACTGCTAGTACGACTTCTACTTCTACTTCTACTGCTACTACTACTACTACACTACTACTACTACTACTACTACTACTACTACTACTACTACTACTACTAGTTCTGCTACTACTACTACTACTACTACTACTACTACTACTACAAGCCTGGAAGGAAGGACACAAAACAGCACTCTGATCACCTTTAATCGAACACACACCTCAACGTGCTGAGTGTCCTTTCAACCGGCTACTACTACTACTACTACTACTACTACTACTACTACTACTACTGCTACTGCTACTGCTACTGCTACTGCTACTGCTACTGCTACTGCTACTGCTACTGCTACTGCTACTGCTACTGCTACTGCTACTGCTACTGCTACTACTACTACTACTACTACTACTACTTCTACTACTACTACCACTACTGCTTCTTCTTCTGCTACTACTACTACTACTACTACTGCTACTACTACTTCTACTACTACTAATAATAATATACACCCTTTAACCCCTAAAAACACTAAGCCCACTTCCTCTGCACCCTTCATCACACTCGCCCCAAACTGCTACCTGTAGGCAAAACACCCCTGCCCGACGGCAACCCTCTCCTTACCCCTGTAACCCCGCTCAACTGGGACTTGCACTTCGAGGCCCGTGGACCTACAAACTTTCGACCGTATTTTACCATAGGCATAGAGTTTTTGGTGACGTCATCCCAAGCCTATATATCGCAGGTTCCCATATCGCGAGACTCTATGTAAACACTAACTATAACATGGAACAGAACCCTTCAAGTGCAACCCTGCATTGTGACACAATCGCCGCAGCGGCCGTCAGTCCGATCCCGATCCGGGTTCTTGGCACCTTGGAGATATAAGGTTCAACTCAGGTCAAAGATTCGCATGCGTTCATCGAAAGTTACATATTATCTAGGCGGCAGGCACTTTGGGAAACTTTATGACTTCCCCGATGGCTCCTAGAGATGCCTTTTCATAAGTTCCTTTCCGCCGAAGCTACACAGCAGTTTTGTCGCCATGCGCTTTTCCCAGCTTGCTTACGTGATCACTACTCTTTTGGGGAGCAACAGTCTCAGTTGTTCAGCAAGACTATACACAAGTGGTGTGTGTGTGTGTTTGTGCCTATATATATATATATACACATACCACATGTGTCGCTCCATTCAGGCTTCGGCGAGATTGAGGCTGAGGATGCCATCCACGTGGCCGAGGTCTTTGCTGGGTCGCGGGTGTTGGCTGATGCTTGCAAGTTGTACGATCTCCGCTCCCGTGCCATGGACGCAGCTCGACTGCAAGCCTTATACCCCAGCCAGATGTTGTCCGGCTGATTTCGAGTCGAATGCATGCATCGAAGGTTGCCTACTCCCGAAAATTGGATATATTGACGATTGGAGGATTTTTAGCAACCATGGAACTCGCCACTCGATTGCATTTGGGAACTTCGAAGCATTAAATGCAAAATCTTGTTGACTGGTCCCAGCTCAGTTACGGCATGTGATCACCAACGGCTGCTGCTGGTTCGGCATTCCATGTTCTACGTGGATATGGATGCATCTCAGCACGACCAGCTCCCTGTGCAGTTACAGTGCAGCAGTTGCAGCATTTTGCAGCCGTGGCGCAGTTAGGTCGAGGTCGAGCACACGCCGTACTCGATTGGTCGCCTCAGGTGGGTTACTACTCTGTCGAGTCAATGTACCTGATTTGAGATTAGGAACCGTGAGGCCCCAACCTTAAATTCACCCCTAAGACTTGAATCCTAAAGCCCCGAAACACAACATACCTCAATCCGCAAATCTATAGCCTTCAATTAAACCTGAATGAAATCTCGCAATCACTAAACCTCCAAACCTTTTCCGTGAATTCAAAACAAAATAGACCCTAGCCCTAAAAACCCTTAAACCCACAATAAGACCTCCAACATTGGCCCTTCAACAGGCAATCGTCGATTCAAGAAAGTTCGGGAAGCTAACAAGATGGCCCGGCGTCTCGTTTATATGTGCCTTGGATCAGTTTGGACACACCAGATATACGCGCAAGCATTCGGAGCACATTGTGCAGGGCACTGGGATTCATCTCAGGTGCCACTACCTGGACACCCGGAAGGTTCATTGGGTTATAGAGAACCCTGGGTCTTCGCTGCTATGGCAGTACCCAGCTGTCAAAGACCCTTGCAGGGAATCATATTAGCTGTATGTTTTCTTGGATCAGCCGAAGAAGGCTTATTTCGTGAGGGGCTAGTAATGCTGACGCCGTTCCGGGATTTTAGCGGGGTCAAGGGTTCGGGTTTTAAGTTTTCTCGATATGCCTTTGTAACATCCTATGTAGCAGTCCTGCCAAGGCTCTCATCCGACGATCTCGGGCACGTTGCGTAATGGTGTCCTTGGGGGCATATGGAGGGCCCTGCATCAAGCAGGCTGGGCTCCTGTTACACCTGGCTTGCCAGGTGTAGTTGTGAATATCTTATGCACGATACTGTCGACTCCCCAACACATGCCATATCTTATACTTATACATGATCTGGCTTTCTTTCAGAAGACTCCTGTGTGCTGGGACCTGATCCATGCCATGAGCAACCCTGTGGAGGTCATGCTGGTTGGCACGGCCCCTTGGCTTGGTCGCTTGGGGCGCCCTATGACTCCGATAGCGAGGCCTCATACATACCGTGCGTATGAGAAAGCAACTGATATTGTAAGTACATCACATGCACCCAATGGTTTAAATACAGCCCATGGAACACGAAGGGAACGAATCCGACGAGTGAAGTCCTTCCTGAAGTTCGAAAGCCATCGGCACTACGTGGACTTCCGTGGGAAAGTGCGATCCGTCACTACCTCAAATAGATGTGATCAAACCATTACATGCAGCTGCATTGTGGTTTGCCCAACACTCCACACACACATCAGGTGGGCCGCAAAGATCTGAAGAAGACGCAAGAGTATCCCGCTGCCTTCGGGATCAAGGCACTTGGCAACAAACATAATCTAGCTAGGAATTCCCAGTTTGTATCCTATAACCTACATTGGATGGAACTTCCAAGTACAAAGCTATTTCGTGCTGATCCTGATGTATGCCGGTACCCTTGCAGGGGTTTGTCAGGAGTAGTTAATGTACATATATAGGGTCTTGCTTTATAATAGGGCTGAGGGTTTCTAAGGGTTAATACTGGTCCCAGTTCAAGCTGAAATAACCGTCGCAGAAAGATTGGAATCCGTAGCGACTGAATTCCTCGTCCAAGATTTTGCCGAAATTTCACACCCAAACCATGCCGGTTGACCGCAGGTGGGCGAAGCAATCAAGAACTACCTGGATGCCTTGCCGCCAAATGAAAAGGCCCTGCTGCCAGATGGCGGTGCATCATACCAGGACATCCGTGACGGTGGAGACTCCTCAGATAGTGGATTGGAAGACATTTTGATGAGTCAGGGCTGAGCTAGATTTTATTGTGTGCCTGCACCCTTGGGTTGTATGCATAACCCTACATACCTAAACCCCTATCTATATATGATATATGTATATAGAGAAGCGCAAGACGCTTTCAAGGTGTGTGTGTGTGTGCGCAGGTACTAATTTTAATTGTAGGTAGCGAAACATGCAGAGCGCTGTATATTCAGAGTCTTGGAATCAGGAGCACTGCATGACTAGCAAAGAATCCGAATACACGCCGAGCTTCAGAGACTCTGTGGTGATGTGCCTCTGCTGAGTCAGAGCATGCTCTGCGAACTGTGAGAGCGAAAAAGCTGCTGATCACGCTTGCTTGTTATCATCTACTTAACCCACCGGCCCTGTATCTCAATTTCTACTAGTCTTGTTGGATCATGAGATGCCCGTCTATGTATATAAAGCAAAGAGAATCCGAAGAGACAAACACATTTTCGAAGGCATGTATATATATATATATATATATATATCCTATATCCTAAACACTACAGTATCATACAAGCTATATAACAATACGTATGCGTAACCCTTTCCTATGTAATATGTGTGTAATATATATATATATATATATATACTAATATATACCGCACGATGCATTCAAAGGCACGTTAACACGACACGTTTCGGCACGCTTTTACACGTTTCGGCAGGGCACGACACGTTTCGGCACGACACGATACACGACATGTTTCGGTGTGACACGGCACGTTTCGGCACGACATGAAACACGACATGTTCCGGTGTGACACGACACGTTTCGGCGCGGCACGACACGTTTCGGCACGGAACGATATGTTTGGGCACGGCACGACACGTTTCGGCACGCTTTTACACGTTTCGGCACGCCTTAATGGCACGACACGTTTCGGCACGACACGATACACGACATGTTTCGGTGTGGCACGACACGTTTCGGCACGACATGAAACAGACATGTGACACGACACGTTTCGGCACGGCACGGCACGACACGTTTCGGCACGGAACGACATGTTGGGGCACGGCACGACACGTTTCGGCACGGATCGAAGGGATCGGTGTTCAATACGAATCTGACCCACCAGTTGCCGAACGTGTAAAAGCGTGTAAAAGCGTGCCAACGGATCTATAACATAGCTTCAAACGTGTAAAAGCGTGTCACACCATGTACCACTGCTTGAGTGAAACTTTCGAAAGGTGTGGTTCTCCATCCATCCATCCACAGAGCTATACAGCTCGAGATCAGCCGTGTTCGTGTCGTGGCAATGGCCACGATGGACCCTGCCGACGAAGAGTGGGACTGGGGCGAGGCCACCCGAAGAACATCACTCTTAGTGTTTCCTGCCGAAGATCCACCCGAGCTGGGAGAGATGTACGTGACAGGGAACGGTTCTAGGTACCGGGGTGGGTACGTTGTGGACAAAGACGGCCTATGCGTTCCTGTCGCAGAGGCGCCGAAGCTTCTGCGGAAGGGAGCTGCCTCAAACCTGCTCCCAACTCCGGCACGCGCGAAGAGCGGGGCCAACGAAGAGGAGGAAGCAGCGGAGGAAAGCTCAGGAAGAACCAGCAAAGGCAAAGGAAAAGCCAAAGGAAAGAAGAAAGCCGCCGAAGAAGAGGAAGCAGACGAGGAAAGCCCAGGAAGTGTCAAAGGCAAAGGAAAGGCCAAAGGAAAGAAAGCCCCCGAGGAAGCGCAGAAGAAAAGCTCAGGAAGTGTCAAAGGCAAAGGAAAGGCCAAAGGAAAGAAGAAAGCCGCCGAGGAAGAGGAGGAGGAGGAAAGCTCGGGAAGTGTCAAAGGCAAAGGAAAGGCCAAAGGAAAGAAGAAAGCCACCGAGGAGGAGGAGGAGGAAGCAGAGGAGGAAAGCTCAGGAAGTGTCAAAGGCAAAGGAAAGGCCAAAGGAAAGAACACCCCCGAGGAAGCGCAGGAGAAAAGCTCAGGAAGTGTCAAAGGCAAAGGAAAGGCCAAAGGAAAGAAGAAAGCTGCCGAGGAAGAGGAGGAGGAGGAAAGCTCGGGAAGTGCCAAAGGCAAAGGAAAGGCGAAAGGAAAGAAGAAAGCCGCCGAGACGCAGGAAGCAGAGGAGGAAGGCTCAGGAAGTGCTAAAGGCAAAGGAAAGGGCAAAGGAAAGAAGAAAGCCGCCGAGGAGGAGGAAGCAAAGGAGGAAGGCTCTCCAGGAAGTGCCAGCAAAGGCAAAAGAAAGGTCAAAGGAAAGAAGAAAGCCGCCGAGGAGGTTGAAGCAGAAGAGGAAGGCTCTCCAGGAAGTGCCAGCAAAGGCAAAGGAAAGGCCAAAGGGAAGAAGAAAGCCACCGAGGAGGAGGAAGCAGAGGAGGAAGGCTCTCCAGGAAGTGCCAAAGGCAAAGGAAAGGCCAAAGGAAAGAAGAAAGCCGCCGAGGAGGAGGAAGCAGAGGAGGAAGGCTCTCCAGGAAGTGTCAAAGGCAAAGGAAAGGCCAAAGGAAAGAAGAAAGCCGCCGAGGAGGAGGAAGCAGAGGAGGAAGGCTCTCCAGGAAGTGCCAGCAAAGGCAAAGGAAAGGCCAAAGGAAAGAAGAAAGCCGCCGAGGAGGAGGAAGCAGGGGAGGAAGGCTCTCCAGGAAGTTCCAGCAAAGGTAAAGGAAAGGCGAAAGGAAAGAAGAAAGCCGCCGAGGAAGAGGAAGAGGAGGAAGGCTCTCCAGGAAGTGCTAAAGGCAAAGGGAAGGCCAAAGGAAAGAAGAAAGCCGCCGAGGAAGAGGAGGAGGAGGAAGCAGAGGAGGAAGGCTCTCCAGGAAGTGCCAACAAAGGCAAAGGAAAGGCCAAAGGGAAGAAGAAAGCCACCGAGGAGGAGGAGGATGAAGCAGAGGAGGAAGGCTCTCCAGGAAAGGCCAAAGGCAAAGGAAAGACCAAAGGAAAGAAGAAAGCCGCCGAGGAGGAGGAAGCAGAGGAGAAAGGCTCTCCAGGAAGTGCCAGCAAAGGCAAAGGAAAGGCCAAAGGGAAGAAGAAAGCCACCGAGGAGGAGGAAGCAGAGGAGGAAGGCTCTCCAGGAAGTTCCAGCAAAGGAAAAGGAAAGGCGAAAGGAAAGAAGAAAGCCGCCGAGGAGGAGGAAGCAAAGGAGGAAGGCGCTCCAGGAAGTGCCAGCAAAGGCAAAGGAAAGGTCAAAGGAAAGAAGAAAGCCGCCGAGGAGGTTGAAGCAGAAGAGGAAGGCTCTCCAGGAAGTGCCAGCAAAGGCAAAGGAAAGGCCAAAGGGAAGAAGAAAGCCACCGAGGAGGAGGAAGCAGAGGAGGAAGGCTCTCCAGGAAGTGCCAAAGGCAAAGGAAAGGCCAAAGGAAAGAAGAAAGCCGCCGAGGAGGAAGGCTCTCCAGGAAGTGTCAAAGGCAAAGGAAAGGCCAAAGGAAAGAAGAAAGCCGCCGAGGAAGAGGAGGAGGAGGAGGAAGGCTCTCCAGGAAGTGCTAAAGGCAAAGGGAAGGCCAAAGGAAAGAAGAAAGCCGCCGAGGAAGAGGAGGAGGAGGAAGCAGATGAGGAAGGCTCAGGCTCTAACAACAAAGGCACCGGGAACCCAGACGAGCAGGAAACTGAGGAGGAAGTTTCTCCGAAGGGCAAGCCACCAGTCAAGCGCAGACTGTCCTGGAACGACGAGCACACAGGTTCCCTGGAGTTGGCGCACAGGTGTGAGACGCCAGACAGCCGTCGATCGGGCAGGAACCAGCTCGCCATCGTCGACTGCAGCAAGCTGAATATGATCGACTTGACCAAGGAGCAGTTTAACAACCCACTGGCGGCTTTGCCGCCTAACTTCTCCTACGACATTGTCGGATCCCAAGTTCTTTTCGTCAGGAAAAAGAACATCGAAAGCTGCGAGCTGTTTGGCGAGTTCCTGGAGTATGCCAAGAATGGGTCGCAGGAATTTAAGTGGGACATGGGATCCAAGGCAGATCCTACAGAAAGCTTGCAAGTCTACAACGCTTTCCTCCTTGAGATGATGGCCAAACCAGGCTGACCGTGCATCCTGAACATGTGAATATGTACACACACACAGCTACCTGGGTAGGTAGATAGATATATAGGTACATAGATAACTAGAGCGGTATAGCTATATAGAACGGTAAAGAGAAAGAAATGTTACAAACGGGTTTCTACATATGTATAGATACATACATAAATATTATAGATATATGTAAGTGTGCGTGTGTGTGTGTGTGTGCACATGTACATGTGGTTGGTTAGAGCTAAATGACCAAAGTCTCGATACCGTTAGTCTATACCCATCCCTGTGTGTATATACGCTCAAACACTATGTTACAACGAGTATATAAGCTGTCAACCCCCTATAGATAACCTTGAGGCAGTAAACCACTCGAGTTCCAACCTGCTTAAACCCTGAACCTCCAGATCCCTGACCAACTGCTGGGATGTTCAATTAAGATCGAGAGTTGGGTGCTAGAGATTTTGAAACACAGGTTTCATCATGGACTTGGTGGGTAGACCAACGTTACCCGGCTATTGAACTTGAGAAACTGGACCACTATAACTTGAAGCTTGGCTTGTGTGATCGGCCAGGCACGGTGGTGGCTGCATCTGAGACAGCCAGTGCAACACCGCCATCGCCGCTTCCTTACTGTCAGCCCGGATACAGTTGCATACCTTGTATTTATATGTAGCTGTGTCGATGCGAGCACAATCGGTTCTTCTGGCAGGATTCTGAAGCGAGGCCACTCGAGTCTCAGCGTGGTCAGCGATGGTTCGGGGCCTATCAACATGAGTCCCATCGGGATCAAGAATGAGGAGGGAAGAGTTAAGCGAGTTAAGTTGCTGTCAGAGCAACAGAAGCTGCAGATCCAGGCCATGTCTTAGGTTTGTTTAAGCCCGAGCTGATCGACTGTGTCGTTGATTATCCTGAGCATTGGCCCGATATTGTTATGTGACACCTAACCCTACATTACTTTAAGGACCAAATACACCTTTACATATCCGTAGATACAAATCCATCCACAATGCCCTGCACTGTTATCTAAAGGTATGCCATAACAACCTTTGTTTGACGATTTGGAACCCAGAGCAATACAAACCCTAGGCATTACCCAAGTGTAGCCCTTAACGACTTAACGACCTACGAATCATGTTTCTCAAAATTATATCTACCGGTTGCATCCTGTTGCAGGCTTTGCAAAGTCCTCAAGATATGGATCCGGGTGAGCTCAAGCGCCAGCGCGAAGCACTTCGAAGAAAAATGGCATCGCCCGGCCGGGTTGCAAACAAACCCTCTATAACTTAGAAGCTGCCCCCACCCTGTAATAGTGACTATAAGGATTATATTAGGGCCCTATTATATTCCTATTATATCCCTATTATACCACTATTACAGGGTGGGGGCAGCTTCTAATCAGTAGGACCTTATAGCTATATTTAAACCGAAATACCCCGAAACCCTGTGTAGGATTGCGGCCGGGGTTGCTCGAGAAATTCAATGCAGCCACCTCGAGCACAGCCAAGCGCATGCCTGAATGGGTTGCAGCATCATACCGTCGACCACATGGTCAAGAATGTGAGTTTTTTCGTGCTCCAGGGTTGTCTTGACCCGTGTGAGGTTCGATTTCCTGAAGGCTTATATGCTCGACCCAACCTTGGATTCGATGACTGTCGAAGCTTTCTACGTCGAGTGACCTGGCTTTACTATTGCATGTTTTCTTGGTAGCCATGCATCTCATGCAAGCAAACACCTCACACGCATAGGCCCTGTGTATCTGTGTCGATGCAAACTAAGGGAAGCAGTGCGCGAGGGAAGCAGCAATTATATCGAATTACCACTTGAAGAGCTACGCAAGATTTATACGAGTCCGATCCAGCAAGAATTCTTGCAGAAGCAGGTGGTTGACAGTCCTTGGCTCAGTGTCTGACGCCTTGTTCTGTTGAAACATGAGATGTTTCGTGGTGAGCCTGCTTGCCAAGAACAGAAGGGTGCACCACACCCTCAGGACCACCTGCTAGAAGCTCTACCTTGTCGTGCATGTGTGCGTTTCCCGGTATAAGTTCATCCTGAACAGGATCCAACGAATCCGGATATGCGGATATACCGTGTGTTCAGGTCCACCAAAGATTCCAGCGCGATTCCCAATCATGTCATTTGTTGTCTGCACTATGTTGCTAGTAGCTTCATACTTGTGAAAGCTTCTAGCCTGATCGAGGCAAGACAAAGGCCAAAGTTGGTACCAAGCTGTCCGGCGTGGCATCGGTGCCACGCAACCGAGCAGCTCGATCAGCGCTGGCAGAAACGTTGACAGCTCGTGCCGCAGACATGTCGAAAGACATCACCGAACCCCATGGAGGGGGCAAAGACACGAAAGAGAGAAAGCCACCGAAGGCTCCGGAACACCTGTCTTGCATCCGCTACGAGCTTGTTTACTTACATGCCACATGTGTCCACACCGTCCATGCCATCATGTCGCAGGAGTTGACCCCGGAGCAGCAGCAACAGAAGGAATTCGACAAGGACATGGCTGCGCCACTCCGAACAAGATATTCGACCCCCAAACCATGAACAAAACAACAAAACCTTCGAACCCTATAATCACATTAAACTTAACCCTTTTACCCCTCTATAAGCCCTAAACAAGGCACTGAGTGACCCCTGCCTGAACCGAGGCTGCACTCATTGGCCACGAAGAGCAGGAATGTCGCGAGGGCCATCCACGATCACGGGATGCCTTTGCAGGAGGCTTGTGCCGTTGAGCCAAACAATCAGGACATATCAAGATAAAGCTGTTTAAGCCTGTGCATGGAAAAACACACCTTCTAAGCATACCCTGCCCCGCCATGAATAGCAACTCGTGCTGATGTGGTGCCCGGTCTGTATCCCTTGCTCCAACCTTGTCACAAACCACGCCCCATACGAGGCAACGATCGAGAGCTTGAAAGCTGTGCATAAACAGCTCCTTGCGTTGCACACCGAGTGGCTTGCAAGCACTCATACCGCCAGCATTGTGTTTGAGGTCAATGTGTGAACTTACTTGAATCTATGAGACTGCCTGTGCTGCTCAGGATGAACAATCTATTTTTTGCAGCGACGCCGCTCGAGGATGTGATCTGGCACCTCAAGGACGCGAAGCCGACGATCGAGGCCAGCTTCATCGCGAATGCTCTTGTTCCCATATGCTTAGGTGGTGTTTTAGTTGTGGTGAAAGTTGGTGTCCTTAACTCCTACCCTATACTCCCTAAACCCTGAACTCTTAACCCCTGGGTCTAACGACTGACCTGGAAGTCATGCTCATTGAAGTCCTTGCGCATTAATATCATCGAGGCTTCTAGGGAGTGATTCTCCGTTCCGGGTCGTGTACCCGAAAAACAATTACAATACACATCTCAGCACCGTGTAGATGCAACAGCCGATATCACATCGAAACAACAAGTTGTAAGCTACCTGTAAACTAAAACCTTAAACCCAGAATCCTAAACCCTGAACCCTAAAGCCTTAAACCCAGAATCCTAAACCCTAAACCCTAAAGCCTTAAACCCGTAACCTTTTTTTGCATCGGGCCTTTAAGCCTTAAACCCTAAACCCTAAACCTTAAAGCCTTAAACCCATAACCCTATGCCCTAAAACCTTAGACTCATAACCCTAAACCCTAAAACCTTAAACCCATAACCCTCAACCCTAAAGCCTTAAACCCATAACCCTAAACCCTAAAACCTTAAATTCATAACCCTAAACTATCCTACACCCTCAACTCAAACCTTAGATCCCCTTCATTGGCCAGGACGCCACTGCAAAGGTGCAGGCAGCGGAAGCCATCGTGGCAGCCCACGAACGGCGTGCGCTCCTAAGCGTCGCTCGTTTTCAGTGCAAGATCGAGCTTCGAGCAGTGTTGTGTTTTGTGCCTCGTTCTTGTTGCAGGTCTGGCTTCGGAAAAAAAGAAAAGAGAGAAGGAATTGAAGAAGGAGCAAGACAAGGCAAAGGAAAATGAGGGAGATGGCACAGAAGAGGCCGAGGGGGAATGGGATGGAGAGGAAGATTGGGAAGATCAGGAGGAATGCTGGGAGGAAGATCATGAGTGGTCTCGCTGGGAGGCCAAGCGTGCTCGCACGAGCTAGGCTGATCCAACTTTTCCCATGTGGTGCGATGTTCTTATCTTCATGTGAGCACATATTTTGTCATGACATCGCATGAACTGGATGTTCAGTGCTACTGATGGAGAACAGTACCGGCGCTGGTACTTTGCAAGGCCGTCGGTGTGTGCTGTAGCAAACCACAAGCCCCGCCCATACACATATGCCCGACTTCAAACCACAAAGCTCTGAAGACCACTGTGAAACCCCAGGGCACCCCAGAAACTAGCTTGTAAAGGTCCTGCTATACTTAGCTTAGATACAGCGGAGTTGGTCTTTTGAGGTAGTGACCAATATACTGTATGTTTTGTAAAACCTATCTAATACTCGCCAAGATGCTGAAACCACGGCTGCAGCCCATCGTAGGCCACTTCGTTCCTCATATTTGAGTTTTAGCTTTGAGCTTGATGTGCGTGTGCGAAGCAATTGCACATTAGCCAGTCGGCACTTATACGCTCTACGATGCCACGTGTGCATTCCAGCAGCAGGGTGCATGACTGTCCATGTTGTATGTTTGTGTGTTTCACACATAACCACCTTGTATAAAGGCACTTGACAAGGACAGCTCATGCAGCTGGGCAGCAGTGTGTCACTGGATTGTGCATCGCCGCATGTGCGCCTGGGGAAATGCCGGCTTAGCGTTGTCAAGTCGAGCAGGTGTGTGAGTGTTTGTGGGTGTTCCCTACATTGCAAATTCCAGTTTCGTGCCCTTGCAAAGCGAGACTCGTGATTGCGTGTAGCACGGCCTGCAGATTTTGTGCTCTACCGGCTGTCGAGGGTCGTCTGCAAGGTTCGTGGTCTAAGATTCGACCCGCTTCTGCACGTGTGTATGCCATGGACGACGAACAAAACCGTCAGTTTGAGCACCCTGGGTTGCAAGAGGAAGCAAAGGATCTCGAGCGAAAGCTCAAACAAAAAGGTGCCAACTCCAGGTTTGCTCGGTACCTGCTTACAATGTGGACCCGAAGCTTCTTCGAGCAATACCAGATCCTAGGCTTGCAAACCAGTTGGTAAGCCTTCGAATCCATTTTTTGCCTGTGTGCATGCGTGTGTATATACATATCATGCCAACTCAGGGAAGACACTCTTCGCTGCCATCTCGAAGTGCTGATGTACAAGATCGAGCTGCGACTTCCAGATTACCAGCCTGGTTCTTTGGCACACCGCAGCAAGCATGCAGAGCTTCAGTGGCTGCGAAAGCTTGAGTTAGTGTGAAGGATCGAAGCAGTCGGGGTAATGGCTGTTGAAAAGGATTGCATTACTGTACATCTAATGCACCGGTGTGTGATGCCACAGTTCGTTTTTTGGAGCCTTGCTTTGATGCCTGGGCCACATGTTCTGCTCTGTCTGAAATTCTGATCCGCGGCTTCGAGGGCTCGCGATGCGGGCGCGCTTTGTCCGCCATTTAGCACCGGAAACCTAAACCTCTAAGTCCTGTATATTAACCCTGAACCCTGAGCCCTAACCCTAAGCCTTAAACCCTAAGCCCTAAACCCTAAGCCCTAAACCCTTATAAGCCTTAAACCCTAAGCCCAAAACCCTAAGCCCTAAACCGCTAAAGCCTGAATGATTAATGGGTGGGTGCTTAAGCAAGGGCTCTGATTATGGGTTGGCTTTTAAGCGATGACTCTTAAACCCCTAAGCCCTAAACCCTAAGCCTTAAACCCTAAGCCCGAAACCCTATAAGCCCTAAACCTTATAAGCCCTGGGTCCTGATTTGCAAACGAAACCATGGTTTGTGGTCTGATATAAGCTGTCTGTATCTCCTATGATGTAGCAGAAGAACCCACGATGCGAAAAAATCATGACAGTGGTCAGCGCTGACCACTGGGCCACGAAGCTGATTGATGACACAATTACAGAGATTTTTGAGATGCTGGGAAACGGCGAGGCGTGCTCACGCTATGGCTTTACATATGGGGTTAATCGCATTCCATGTTAGACTGTTAGACAGTCCTGAAGGTCCCCATGGAGAGAGTACGATCAATGGCAGGCCCGGTGCTCATTCCGAACAGGTGACGGCAGCGCAATGCTTCTTCGGTTCAGCAGTGTCCTGCCAAGGTCGCTTTGGAAACGTGCCATATTGGCTGGTTCCGAAGCTTGTCTGCAAATAATCTAGAAAGGCAGAACAAATGAAAACCAGAAACATACATAGCCCAAACCCCTATGTACGTCCGACCCTTCGAAGATGAAACTGTACATCATGTTGGCACATGTGGGAGCAGAGTGAGCTCGCTAAGGGAAGACATTAGACAATTGGTGCAGATGCTGGAAAACAGCCAGCACAAAAGAAGTGCTGGTCCTGCGCTCATGGCTTGGGTTGACCGACAACCTTGGAGCAGCTTGTTTGCACGTTTGACATCCTAACAAAACTTGGCTGTGCTGGCTTCCGATTTGAGGAGATGTACTGCCAAAACACTATATCCTGAAGATTCCTATCGTGCCCTGGCTTCTGATCTGCGTGAACCCGACCATTCAAAACCTCTTAATTCCTTACAAACCTGATCCTAAACGCATTTCTTGACAAAGTTTGGCCAAACAATACGGGAGCCCCTGACATTGGCTGCTCAGGAACGCCAAGATGCCCGTGGCAAAAGAAAACGATTGGACATCGATCATGAGATGCTACTTCCTCACGAGCTGCTGGCGAGCTTCGCGGAGCGACCAGGCATGCTCGGAAAGCTGATCGGAGATCCCGGGGTGCCACGGCTAGCACACATGACCTTTTAGGCAGCTGCTGAAATCGAGAAAACCTGTTTCTCAGGACATTGAGGCCTACTGGTCCAGGGAAAAATCTCTGGATCCTTCATGGTTCAGTGCCCACCCAATTCTGGGAGAGGCTTATCTCAATTATTCAGTAGATCCTGTGGCAGCCCTCAATCGAATCCCTGAACCCTTTGAATTTTCATGCTTCCAAGGATGCTTCCACAGACTTGGCGAAGTGTATTCCAGTGCGAATATACATGGACGGGGCAGAGGCTATGCGACACTCGGCAATGCGCGTGCAGCTACCAAGAAATTTGTTCGGGATGTTTCGGAGGCCCTATATTGTACATATTTAGACTGGGGCCAGAATGATCTCTTTGTTGAGGTAATCAAAAATTCGAGCTTATAGCACTCCAAAGTGTGCTCGGCAGATCTTCCTCAACTGTTGACACGCGCTGGCTGCGTCTTGGTTTGCAGCAGAGCTACGCATGCCGGTAGATCGGGGTGCACGCAGCGCAGCACGTCTTGCCGCCAGGTTGTCATGTGTGAATGCTACGTCACAGACCGCTGATGCCCGGACAAAGATCTTGGAAGTTCTCCAATGGTCCTTTGATGCTCTTAGTCTCCTGCTTGCATTTGTACGTTAGTTATAGATGTTAGGGAGTACGTCTACAGGATTGGCTATTAGAGGATCTTCCAATTCGAGGCTGATTTGAAACTCGGAACTCCCTCCCCCGAAACATGATATGCCACACTGTTCCTCTTGGAACAATATGGCACTTCATGTTTCGGGTGAGAGAGCCCCGTTGCCCTTTGAGCCAACATGTCGCATGTGCCGTATCAGGTTCCGGCTACTATCCCGAGAAAGATGCATTCGGTGAGATTCTCAATGAGCCGCACCGGCAGCGGCATGCCGGTCAACCCTTGACGGCATCTGGATACAGACTGATCCTGGACGGCATCCAGGCAGACCAGGACGCTTTGCGATTGTTCTTTAATCTCACCCGCTGCTTGCCTGCATGCCTGACGTCTTGACAGGTTTCTCTGCTGAAACCGAACAAGTGAAGGGTACATATAGGTTGTGTAACAGAGAAATATTTTAAAGGGTTTAGGCAAGTATATACGGTCGTAGATATCGTCAGACATACCTCGGCTGGTTCACGAATCTGTAGATATTCTGTGCAATTACGGGTTTCGCGATGTCAGGGCTCATTGCATAAATGAGCCTCAGTTTTGTGGAGTTTGCAGTGTGGGATTCTTCTTATCTGAGGTCTTGAGCTGGTTTGCGAAAAACATACAACCTGCAGCTCTTACACCTATTTGGAGGATCATGGGACTTAGTAAGTACGGATATATGAACTTTATGGGATGAGGCCAATATTGTAGATAGTTATAGATATGGTTACCATAAGTAGTTATAGCCCCAGTTACTAAGTCCCATGATCCTCCGCTGGCCCCAAAGACGCACCTCTGTAGGTTCAACGATTTGTTCAACCGTAAATCCGGAGCCGTCGACCCCCAAACGCTGAATGAGGAACAACTTTGTTAGGGCTTGGCATGCCGTTACGGTTTGCGCTTTCGGTTTCGTTTCGGGTTTTCGGTTCAAATTTGGGGCTTTAGGGACACAGGGATTGGTTAGAGAGTTGGTGTTTGTAGGATTTTCGGTGACTGCGACAAAGGCTTGGGCCTTTGGGTCTTTGGGGTCTCTTGGCTCGGGGGTTTAGCACGTGTGGGACATGTGTTGGCTGAATATAGGATTTGGGATGAGGCACATGCAGGGTCGGGGCTCAGGCTGATCAGGAGTTGGGGCCTGTGCTGGAACTCGTACTCCAGTGCTTTTGGGCTCTGGGTCTCGAAATCCAAATAGAGTTCACGGCACTCCCATCGAAGCAACCACCCCGAACACCATCTCACACTCTTACTCACTCACTCACTCACTCACTCACTCACTCGTTGTTAGCAGGGTTCTGTAACAAGCTGGTTGGATGGGTTGGTCTCGTGAGGGCAGGCAACAACCGCGGCCTGCATCATCAACTGAGGTTATTTTGGGAAGCAACAAGTATGCCATTTCTGCCAGGCGATTCAATACGTGGTTGCCGACAAAGCTCCATGCGGACCGAACAGCCCTGAGTTGCTGTACACACGCTTCGGTAACAGCGCGAAACATCGTGAAACGAACCTCGGCCGATTGGTGGTTTCATTTGCTTGTCTCACAAGATCATCATGAACTATTTGTGCGACTTCTGCAATGAGGCTGACTACGACAGCCGAATTCATCCAGATCAATGGAGAAACTCCGCTTACGAAAGTGCCCGGCTTTTGCTGCCGGCGCGACTTGGCCAAGGAATTCAGGTATGTAGTTTGTTTTGATTACGTGTGGTTTTCCCAAAAAAGAAAAGGATGCAATAACTGCTCCGCCACGCTAAGCTTATAGGTGTTTTAGTTTCGCATATAGGGTTTTCTATTAAATATATGATCCGTGATGAGGGCTCTATGTCGACATAATGCATGTGGTATACTTGGCAATTGTTGGCGATATGCTCACGTCGCTGCTGTTCGACTTGACGGATAGCGAGGACCACTTCCCTGGACGATCCCGCGAAACTCGACTTGAAGAAATCTGGAATATTTATGACGACTGGTGTGGGCGCAGCAGCATTCCGGACAAAATCTCTCGACGCCTTTTCAGCACTACTTTTCTGAAAGCTGGGAAATACCTGGATATCCCCCAGAAGGTCATGTCGGCTGCAAGCGCAAGATATGCGATCTTTTTTATGGCTACCTTGATGAGGCTGGTGTTGTCCTCGGGTGCTGCTGAAACCCCTGAGCTTCTTTGGATGGCTGGCGTTTGCTGGGCAATGGAAACGATGGAAAGATTGATGATCAATGCAGGGCCTCGGGATTTTTTCAGCAAGTGGTTTATATCAGAATGCGAACAGACTGATTCTATCTGCTGCTCGTGTGTATAGGCTTGTTATTCTACGGCAGGCGTTTCTGGTTTCAATTTATAAGTTTAGGTTTAAGTTGAGGTTTAATTTTAGGTTTAGGGTGAAAATAGTGATCTGAGGCGATATTTGTCTGATTCCCACTGTACTGTATTTCGGGACGCCTATATGGTTTTCCGGGGCGGGTTCAATCGCCTCTCATGTGCTTCTGTGGCCAGAAATGTGGCAAGATGGCATCAACGCCCCAAATTACATCAATTGGAGCACGTGGCTTTAGACCTGTTACCGCGAAACCCGAGATACTGCCATAACTTTCTCAGCGAAGACTACATCAGGCGTGCTAAGCACCTTGCCCTGCGGTCTCATCCTAATTGGATGTCGAGGCATGTGTTATTCCGCTACTGCGTCCAAACCTGCCTGCCATGGAGAGGAAAAAGCTTTCGCTTTTGACCGAAGGAAGGGAACGTGTGGAATCCCTATCTGCGCAAAACCCGGGACCATAATATAGCCATAATTTCTTGTAACACGTCGGTCAACGCATCCTCCAACCTCCAAAGGCTGTTTTCACCCTGGAATCTCAAACCAGTTGGGGATTTTGTGTCCACGTTTTCAATTCTGCATCCGCTTTTTCGGAGCATTTCCAGTAATCGAACCGTGATTCTAACCTCGTTTGGGAACATGGTGGGCCGATGGGAAAACTGCATGGCATGTCGCGATGTGTATAGGAAAACCAAACCTTTATCGGAAAGTTTGCGTGTCATGTCGCATGACAAATAAGAAAAACAATTCGAGTGTAGAAACAGATTCGGAATTCCCATGTCGATCAAAACAACTCTAACCGGACCTATACGTCGATCCGGCTCTATACAGCCAACCGGCTCTATATATGAGTCCGGACAGACCGTGCTGGTATAATGGCTCCTAAAGTTATTTTCTAGCGATTAAATCACTCCCAACACAAGGGGTTTGCTAGTCCCTGACTGCATCTGCAAGTACCCAGCCAGGTGGCGAGCCAAGTATGCCGTGCCACTGCGGTGTGCGGAGTTTGGGGTGTGAGCAAGGAAGGTAGAAAAAGGCTTCCGCGTGCTTGTGCTAGTCGCAATGCGGTGCGGGTGGTTAGGGTTCAGTGAGTACTCGTGGTTGGGGTAGCACGCGTGTCTGTAGTTGGAGCGACTCTTTCCGTACGGGTTCAACGAAGCAGTTGTTTGGGTCGAAGGAATCATTCCCGGGGCCATGGTTGCGTCAATGTCCGTGCTGGGGTCGAAAGAATCAGGCATGGTTGAGTGAATCTGCGTGCTGGGGGTTGGGAGAATCTGCGTTCTGGGGGTTGGAGGAATCAGGGGGTTGGGAGAATCTGCGTTCTGGGGGTTGAAGGAATCAGCCGTTGAAGGAATCATTTCTTGGAACGTGGTTGAACGAATCTGCGTTCTGAGGTTGAAGGAAGCAGGTTTTGAGGTTGAAGGCATCCGCGTTTCCGGGTTGACAGAATCCGCGGTCAGTGGTTGACGGAATAATCGCCAAAAAGTTGAAGGAATCCGCGCGCGACCTACTCTTGTCCTTCCAGGACCACCAGGCCAAGCACACCGCCTCCGGTGTGTCTCGTCCTACGTGCACCTGGGCACGCAGCGAGTCGTCTCTGGCTCGGCGAGCACTGACCTACAACGACGTGCCGGCCTTGCACGTGCACTCTTCCGTCCCATGCGAGCACGCCTTTTGCGCAACCCGGGACTCTCTGTCGCTGAGCGCACACGGCTGCTAGTTGGCTCCGTTTTGGCGTCCTTCTTGCATGGTACTGAGACATGGCCCTTGCAAGTTGCGTCCGAATATCAGGTTTTCCGGCGCCTGTACATGGGTTTTCTTCGCGGCTCAATTCGCCCGATCTTCGGATTCCCGTGCAAGCGGCTCAACGATGGAGCGGTGTGTGCACTCCTCAGTGCCTCGGATCCCCGAGAGGAGCTCGCGATACGTAGGCTCAGGGCTTTCGGACAGGTCTGCCGTGAAGGCTCAGCCTTCCTGCGAGCCACCCTGGTTAACGAGCAGACATGGCTGAGGGCTATCCAGTCAGACCTCTGCCTGACCGCACAGACTCTCCCCAACGCCTCCCTGGGCCACCGAGCTTGACATGGTTTGGCCTCTGGTCTAAGGACGCTGCCCAGACCGCCGGTTTCCTCCGGCGTTTCCGTCAAGCTGCCATCCATACACGGGAGGAGCTACCAGAGGGTGCCGAACGCAGAGGACAGTTCTTCCTGCGAGCTGACCAACTCGGCTTGAGGGTCTTCAGTGAGGCCGAGATATGGCCCAACCTGGGTGATCAAAGCGGACAGCACCCCTGCGATCAATGCGGGCGCTCCTTTGACTCTGCCGCTGCCCTTGGAGCCCACAGAAAGCGGACTCATGGCGTCGGAGCTGCACACTCCGTCGCATTCGGTACGGCATGCCAGGTTTGCTCCAAAGAATTTTGGACCAATTCTCGGCTCCGGCTCCACCTCAAAGTCAGCCCTGCTTGTACCAATGTGGTCGCTGCCAGCGACATTACTGAGGAGGCTCCTGGCCATGAAGCCGCCCAGGCATCACTTCCGGTGACCACACTCATCGGACCGCGCCCATTTTGGGCTGCACTGCGGCCACCCCCTGCTCCGCTTACCGCTGCTGCTGCCCCTGCCACTGACTGGCTCCAGGAGGCCCTGCAGCATGCCGCACAACCTCTAGACCTTCGGTTCTTTAAGGCTTGTCAGGGTTTGCGCGACTCTGGGATGGTCGAACATTTTGCGACGCTACGAGGCCGTTGCCATAGCGGCGACGATGTCCTCAAAGCCGCCTTTGACGTGGCTGATCAGGGGCACTTTTACGAGATTGGCGCCATTGTACAGCACGGTGCAATCTCGGTGCACAGACGAGAGGATGGGTTTACCTTCGGGGACCATGCTCACCTGATTCAGTTGCGAGCCGCTTTTGGCTAAGGGTTTGTTTTCTTCAAGGACCTTGCAAGCTCGAATTCGCGAGCGCGACTGCGGTCACAGGCATCCATCGGAAAAAAAGGCCCCAAAATAATATTACCCTTAGAGTATCCCTTATAGTAGCCCTTATAGCCCCCTTTAAAGGAACCCTGGTAACATCCCTTATAGTATCCCTTACAGTAGCCCTTTAAAGGAACCCTGTTCTATTAGGTTTCAGTGTTGTGGGACTTTGTCTCCGTAGTCTTCGTCTTCTACGACCTCATCACTCTGCCCCTGCAGGTCGGGTTAGGGTTTAGGGGTTTGGGGTTTAGGGTTTAGGGGTTTGGGGTTTAGGGTTTCATAAACCGGGGGCGCCTGATTGGTCCTTCCCTTACGATGAGGGCCCTGTTGTCTGTAAAGGGCTCTCCTTTCTTCAAACTCCCTTCTACGGCACAGACTTCGGTCCATAGGGAAGTTGCACATTTCCTACCAGTTCCGGTTTTTGCATCTTCAAGGCGTGGTTGCTTCAGGGTTCCTTAAAGGTTTAGGTTTTGGTAGTTCGGGAGCCAAGAATCTCCTGGGGACTTGCGTGAGGGTAAGAGCGGTTTCGGAGTCTCTAAGGAATCATCATTCTGATTATGCTCTAGGGTTTGAGGCTTTTGGGTTTTAGGCTTCGAGCACCTGAGAGGGAGAGAGAGAGAGAGGGGGTTTGATAAGCTTTGTCCAGTACTGTTCGTTCTTCGGTGCGACTCGCACTGTAAACCCGGCAACACCTGAGGAGGCCTGGCTGCAAAAGGATTTGATAAGCTATAGCTATTATAGCACGGATGCAAAAAGGGTTTGATAAGCACGAGGGGTAATCCAACCCATCTGGACGATAGCCGTCAGGTCTTCAGCTTCAGCAGCTGGTTTCTTTCTGCTGCGACTTGGCTGTCAGACTCCTGCCAGTAGAGACGCAATATAGAGGTCTGTGCAACTTATTTGAATGTCCCGTGATCGCACCCAAAAATTAGACTTCCGACGTATCCAAGACAATCCGAAGCACCGGCCGATCATTGTGGCCGCTATACCAAGGTTGTGAGCACATGCCAGGGTTCAGGGTCTTTGGTCTTTTCTTCATTGGCGGCTAAGGGCTATACCGGGCTTTGGAGTACCATACTTTAATCCTTTTTTGGGACCTGCTACTTACAGGGAACCAATCATGAGAAAAAAGTCTATACTTTTTTCTCCTTGGTTACTTCAAAGCCCAGTATAGTTGGGGTTGAAGTTGTTGGGATTCAGGTTGGGGGAAGGCTTCCTTGAGGGGTCGCGTGGGTCGAAAGGGAGGGCTGGACATAATGGGTGCTGCATGTCGATTTCACATGTCGGTTACCTGTCGGTTGCTCAAAGGCCGGGCAGAAGGGGTGATGGTGTTCGAGAATTAGAATACATCGAAAGCACAGCTCTGATGAATCTTAAGCCCACATTCTACAACGCTCCTACCTGAACCCCTAAACTCTAAACCCCAAACCCCCGACCCGTAACCCTAAACCCCAAATCTAAAGCCCTCGTCATCCGATCCCTGAGCAGATTCCTCAGGGTGACACGGGTGTGGCTCTGGTCTGGACCCTGGACCCTGGGAAGCACTTGGGGAAGAGGTGCTCGTACAGGGTTTAGGGGTTTGGGGTTTAGGGTTGAGGGATCAGGGTTTTCCATACACAACTTGTACTTTAGTGCTTCGGTATCTCGGTTTTAAGGGTTCAAGGTGTAGGTTTGGGGTTTCGAGTTCAGTGTCTCGGTTGCAGGGTGAGGTTTTCTGGAACTGCAGATCTTGGGAAGTAGCAACAACCGGTAAGCAAAACAGAAGCTAGTAGCAAAGGCGAGAACTGTTGGGCTGCGAGCTTGCCGGAGGTGATTGTTGTGCTATTGCCCTAGCAGAGTGTGGTGACGAGGACCAGAGGAGTCAGGCGAAGTATAACAACTTCAAAAGATCAGCTTTGGCATTGCAGCGGGTAGATTGAACAACGCATCACGCAATATATTTGTCAAAACCTTAGCGTGGTTTTGAAGACCGTTCAGAGTAGCAGCCAGGGCTGCTCAGTTGACGGA